CAGAATGTGAATGCATTAGGAGAAGCTGTTCTGAATTAATGTCCTTCTGCTGTGGCAGCTTTAGTATTATGACCTACATTTTAAATAATTTTCAGATACGGATCAATTTTCAGTTGACAATTCGTGTAATCTCGAGAGTTACTGTAGCCCCGATTTCTCCATAAATGGGACTAAAATGCAGGCAACTTGAGCTAATCTATGTAGATTGGCATTTGATCATGTAATTAGGCACAGTGCAGAGCGAGCTGGACGAGTCTCTTCCCAGCACTGCCTTCTGGCCTCTCCCAAGCTGCCCCAGGGGAGATGTGTGCATCTAAGAACCGAGACCATCTGCTCATTTGCAGGCTCTACCCGTCGTGATCCCTGGTTTGGGGAGCTGTGGAAAGCAGCTGTATTTTCCTTCCAGGCAGACACTGTGTTGTACACAACACGCTCTTCTATACATCCACTGAGATATAAAATAGCCTTACAACATGTATCGTTCTGCAGAGGAGGGAAATGGTTAATCTGTGGATTCACAGATGGTTAATGGTTAATCTTTTGGATTCACAGAACATCCTGCCGCTGAGGAAAGAGACTACAACAGTTCAACTAACAAAAGCTAGAGTGGGAAGTCCACAGAAGTCTTCTATTCTGGTGAACCATTTTTGACAAGTTTTTGAATGTGGCTGCAATTAAGACAAAGGCCGTAGAGCAAACATTTCTGGTAGGCTTGGGCACTCTGTACTCATAGTCATCTCCAAATAAGCTTAAATTGTAAGAATAAGAATAGATGTAATGAATAGGTGTGATGAATAGAAGCCTAGGTGGCTCACAGTCATACAAGCCCAGGGCAGGTGTACCTGCTGTATTCTGCACCAGAAGGCTGAAAATATTCTTACTTTTCTCCAGGAGTAGCTCTGTGATAAACCCCAGTGTGGTAGTGTCTACAGTAGGGAAGCCCACAAAGTAGTTTCTGTTGGAAAAGGATCTTTCCTTCTGAGGAATCCCACATGACAATAGGAAATTATGACATGGGAAATTCAGATAGGTCACCTGTCTTGTGTGTATTTATACAATAGTCTCCGACAATTCTGCCATAGAATGGTAATGCAAAGGGAATTAACAGTTGAGGCAAACTAAATCATGGATACACTCTTTGCCTCTTGGAAATTACATCTACACACTTGCTTGACTTACAAGACTGGACTCTAGCAACATATCCATGGAAGGAGGTGAATCGCGACATCTGTACTCAATGTGGCTTTGGTCCTGGTATCCTTGGTCCTTTCTGCTGTTCCATCATTATAATGTGTTGGGATGTTTTATCCTCAGAGCCCAGACGTTGCCTCTTTCAGTATGAACTCAAACCTACCTTTCTGATTGTGTTGGCTTTTCCCTTTTTTTTTTTTTTTTTGTGGTGTTGATACAGCTGCTGTACTATACAGATCTCCTACTGCTCCTCCCTAGCTAGCGACTGAAAAAAAAGCAGCAGCAAGTGCTGAGCTTGGCTTTCTTATCACTGGACTGTAAACTCGGGGGAGCAAAAAGGAGGGATTGCAGCACATCAGAACTGGGAGGCTTCATCAGCTGCATTCCTGAAGTTCCTATATTAATGTTTATTTACTGGTGATGCATTCTTAGCTCAGTTATCCAGAGCATAAGCTGCCTTTTGGGAAGTGGAAGAACTCCTGGAAGTCCAGACGGGATGATCTGAATTATGATCTGAACTATGCTTTCCCCCCCCCCCCCCATTTGTGTAATTTTTTCTCCCCTAAAATCTTTCTAAGGAATAGTTATTAAATGTGTTTCCTTTAGCATTTCCATTGATTTTAAAGGCAATCAATATACTTAATTGAATAAATCTGGTACACTAAATCTGAACATTTAATTCATTCTAGACTAGAATGGAGAATTCCTAATGCTAACACTAAGGCTCCCCTATGCTACCCCATGCTAAAGGAAGTGTATGGTATCAGACTTATATTTCAGACAACAGTGCTACAAGAATGTTAAATTTTACAAAGAAAGATAGCTGGACTATAAATTTAACAGGGCATAAAAATAACTCACTTAACCAAACTAGGAATTTGGTAAGAGTAATTTGATATTATCTAAGAAACTGCCCTTTCAAATATTTTTCTTCAAAGAACAGAATCCAATGCCTAAAGCTTAGAAAGAATGTATTGATCTGCGATTATTACAAGCCCTTGACTTCTAGAATTAAAGAAAATGGGAAAGTGTAGCAGGTTATGTTAAAGTATTTCCAATTTCTTACTAAATTTTCCATAGCAAGAATGCCACATCTGGTAATGTCATCTCAGCCGATGAGTAGGCAGTGAAACAAAGGCAGGATTAACCAGTGAGGAATCAGAGAGCACTGTTTTTTCTCCATCAAATTTTAAGCATTGTTAAAAGCCACAAAGCTGGTCGATTTACATTTTATACATACTTCAAAGAATGGCACAGCAAGAGAAGTGATCACGTTGTGATGCCTTCCAGTGTTACAGAGGTGAGGAACAGATTTGGAGTTCCATTTATGCTTTACAGAACAGTACACTTGTTTAAATAAAGTCACAGAAAATTAACATAAACAACTGTAAAACAGATCTTTGCAACAGGTAAAAATGAATAAATGGCAAAAATACTGCATCTCCCATAAACATCTACGGTTCCACCACCTAGTGGCCAACCAAAAAGTTGCAATTTTGCTTCATACGGTGCATCCTGATTGCCTGGAACTTAGCTTAGCAACTGAAGGTCAGAATTGAGGCAGGCAGGAGCAGTCGATGCACTGCTGTATTTTGCCCTTGGCCGATGCATTACAAAATAGCAGCGTATTCAATAGAGCCTGAATTAGCTTTAGCTACTACCTCAACTTCTAACGTTGTGCAAGAATAAACACCAGCAGCATTGTAATGGATGGGTTTCAGTTCGGTTTCCAACACTCCCTTCCCATACAAAGCACAAACAAACACAAAGCTGAAAGTATCCAGGAGCCGTTATTTCTTGTCCATCTTTGAAAAAAAATGTCCCATAGTTTGCTTTATTTAATATTCACTGATATAAAGAAAAAAAAAATCAGTGAGAAAAAAAAAATCCATGAGAATTTTAAAATAGTCCCTAAGTTGCCAGGAAAATGATACTTACTGCTCTCCTTAAGCTGGAGATAACAGACTATCCTGTGATCACCTGAAAAAGTCATGTTCTATTTTTTCATATTTCAGATTTCCTGCAGCTGAAAGCTACATTTTTAGAAAGGTTTCTCCATTACACTGAAAACTAAGAGTATAAACTCCCAGTGCACATCACAATTTATTTTAAATGGCATTTTTTATTAGTTTGCTCTTAGGTTGCTTTTATTGTACCTTTTGGAAGAGCTAGGTTTTCTCACATAACTGACAGGAATATCAAGAGTACAAATCAGAAGGCCTTTCTCTAAAGCCAAGTTTTGCAAGTCCCTTTTGTTTAAATATGATAAGGCTTATTAAAACAAAGTAAAAATATATATAAAAAAAGACACAACAACCCTGGGCAAAGAATACACAAGTCTTTTGGAATTTCTTAATTTCTGAAAATATAAGTCCATTTGAGAAAACTTAATCGAAAAACTAAATGAAATCCAAGAAATCAATTCTCATTCAAATCATTCCATGATCTCATCATCAGCAGTAAGATGTGCTATTTTTTTTCCAGCCCAAAATTACCAGCTTTGGGGAAAACATATTCATACTTAACAGAAATAATTAATGGGTTACGTTAAATTAACTTTTCTTTCCCTGATCCACATGCCTGCATGTTAGATAATGTTACATTAGAACCGAGCATTGTAATGAAAAACTACAAGCAAAAACCTGTAACAGTAACCAAAGCAAAAGCTTTCTTTTTTTTTTTTCATGGTTACATAATATAGATCAGTAATTTAATATTAAAATTAACTTCCTATATAAATAAAAATAAAAAAAAAGGTTGGGCAAAAGGAAATTGGCACAGTCATTAAGGTATTGCTTTCCAGTTTCAACACTGCAAAGAGCAGCCACAGCTTCTAAACACCAGAAGAAAAAGGCTACCACCTCAGTACATGGGGTAGTTTGGTATTTTCCCTTTTAAACGCAGTCCCCAGCAGTGCCACTGCTGCAAATGCATCAGACAATGACTCGGAGCGGGTAGGTGGGAAGCGAGAGCAAAAGGACAACTGCAGAGCTGCTCCTTAAAATGAGCAAAATAACATAAAAACAAAACGAGGGAGTGTGGTTTACTGCTCCGCATGACTTTTGAGTCAATGGTTTTCAGGATTGTGACTATTTTTTACCTCCAAAAAGGCAAAAAAAAAAAAAAAATCAAAATTTCAAGCCTTCAAGTTTCTTTGCCTTTGTTCCCTCCCACCCCACAACAAGCACCTCCTAATATAAACAATTTTTTTTCTGTTTTATGGGTTCAAATGCTGGAATGTAGTGGAAATACATATAAGAGAGAAGGAATTTCTAGTGGTACATTACATTACAAAGAGGTTTTCTCCCAGACCTAAGGAGGGAAGGATACTAAGCAATAATAAATTCCTATAAGAATCCTTACAAAGCATGCAAAATGTTGATATACTCACAAAGTTGAAATTTATAGTTGTTTCTCTTTGAATTTGCAACTTCACAGTACAATAATTTCTAATATAATGCAGCAGTCAGAATTACATTGATTACAAAATAATTTCCTTTATTTTTTTTCTCTCTGTTTGTTTGAAAGATACCTTTTTTCTTTTTAACACATAGGTTGCAGACCCCTCAGCAGAAAATGAGAAATTTGGCTAAAGAGCACACTAGGGTTTGCTTCCTTTGTGGTTATTTCCCCTCAAGTGATCTTGACAACCAAACTGCGCCAATTACTGCTTTTAAAATCGGTCCCTCCCTCCTCTTCCCCACTCGGATTCCTTCCCACGTCTTCAAGCTGCTCTTTTCTTCTCGCTAGGATGGTGGTGGATGATTGCTGCTCTATGGATGCTGCATAGCTGGGTAGGAAGCGCAGGGGGATGGAGTCATTTATGAAATGGGAACATCCCCACAGCCCCAAAGACTTTTGGCACAACTGCTTCTTGACCAGAAGAGTTTCCTCTGCTCTGGGCACCAGCAATTAGATGATGTTTTCAGTTCCACAGGCAAACATTACTGCTGCCCTTTACGCCCAGGTAACCCCAGTGGCTTTAACCGTGCTAGGCAGGAAAACGTGAATTTGGTTATTTGGCTAGAGCTTTTGTACTGCTGTCTGGAGTTTCATAGAATTTTCTTCACTGCTCTTAATTAAAACACGGTTGGAATTTCTGGAGAATACACATGCATGCTACTTCCTAGATTGTCCATAAAGTACATTCTGACACATCTTATCAAAGTATTTGTATCTATCAGAAAAAGACTCAGAGAAGCAATGTACAAAGCCTCCAAAAATTCAAGTATCAAAAGAGCTATTCTGATAAAAGGTTGGAGTGAGTAGGCAGAAAAACAGAGAGCCATGTGTGTGTGTGTGTCTTCAAAAGCTTCAACTATTCTGGAATGCCAACAGTTTTTTCTTTGGAGAGCTGGGAGAATAAAAGCCTCCTAAATTAATTTTCATTAAGCTTGGCAGGACATTAGGAATTTAGCAATACTCTCTGGATAATGTTGCCCCTGCTTTTATACACAAGCAGCAACAGAATCATAAAGCACTGAGTCTAATCCTTCCTGCCACTCTTTGATTTCCTGTATGTATTTACAGTGTCATATGGTTGGGTCCGGCTCCCTTAATGCCAAAAACTGGGAGAAGCGCAGGAGAGGCAAGAGCAGGGCATCTCCTTCCCCGGAGTCTGTAGAGATTTGCAAGGGAAGGGGTGGGTGAGACCAGAAAAACAAAACAAATTTTAAAAAACAACACTTGCAGTTGTACACAAAACTTCCTTTCGGTTCTTTAGAGCCCTGTTCAAATCAAGACTTGAATTTCTGAGGAGGGAATCTCAGATCCCAGACCCTTCTCTTCTCCTCGCCTCTTGACAAAGCAATACTATGTTTTGTGACCTAGAACAGTACTTTAAAAACAACAGTTATTAAAGACACAGTTGTGATATATCCTTTATCTCCCCTCACCCCAAAAAAGGGTATCCTATCAAGTGGTCCAGTAGAAATCTTGACGTTTCTTTATGATAAATTAAATCCATAAAAGGAGGAATACCTTCAGTCACATTCCCAACAACCGCCACGCTCTGTGGTGCATTTGTTCAAGTGTCCGTTGCGCCTTCTTGTGGAGATCCTGCACAGCTCCATCTCCAGCTCTGCTTTTTTTCCGATTCCACCGATCAAAAGTAGGGAGATTTTTCTCCTTTTTCTTCAGCTTGTCTCTGGTTTGCAAACAGCAGAAGCACTGAGGGCCGTATTTCCCCAGGGTGGGACCAGGCCAGCAATGTCTGAAGAAACAGCGGCCCTCTCTCCTCAAGGGTGGCCCTTCGTGCCAAGAGCAGTTTCTCGAGTCCCGTCGGTGTCACAGGTACCTATACTTCTGTGGAGAAGAGGATGCTTTGCCTCTTGCTATCGGGGGTAGGGATAGTCTCTAGCTGCAAGAAGTACAGAAGGACTTGAACCTGCAAAGAAAAACAACAAGGAAGATGTAATAATAAAGCCCTGTTAACTCATTCTCATCCTGGTTATTAGGGAGTTGGCAGATGTGTTTAAATCCCTCTCTGTAAGACCTTCTTGCAGTTACTTATTTTTCTAAATACAGTGTGTAATAAAACATGAATATTAAAACTTGTAGTGCTTTATAGATAACTCTTCTCAGCCTCCACGATAGGACAATGCTGGTGGCGTTCCACCTCAGTGGGAGAAAGCCCGATTTCCTTTTTGCTATTATTGAAACAAGAAAGTATGAAACAGCCTGGCAGCTAACACAGCCTCCCCACTGAAGCTCTGCGTACCACCCTCAGAAGGCAGCAGTGGCCAAAGAAATGGGCACCACCCATGATATGGGCACGTGTAGGATCTTACCTGGGACATGACTTCTAGTGACCAACTGTCGGTCATTGTGATAGGCTGGGTGGGGTTGGCAGGGATTTTACTGTCCTTCTCGGAAGGTCTGAGCAGCGTCGGTCCAAAGACAGTTGCAAGGTTATGCAGGGACATCTTGTTAATGCTTTCCCTCTCGGCCACCCTGCAGAAAGAAACACTGGTCAAGGAGGATCTTTACCTGAGCTTGGAAGGGTCTGTGAGGAAGAAGCTGTATTTGCTGCTTTGGTAAAAAGCTTTACATACAGACATTCAATCAACCAGTATCTCATATATGTTGTCAATTTATTGTATATATCAATATCAAGAATATCAATAACAGCTATGACTGTAACAGCTACAGTCGCTAGGCCCTCTATAGACAGAGTTTAAACTTGGGAGAGGGGCTGCTGCTTCTTGTCCCCACAGATGAACGAGGCCCCAGATTAAAGGAATGCTTCCTACCTGATTTTATAAATGAATAACCAAGGCACACATTAAGAAAGATGACCAAGAGCAGACATCTTTTTCAGACAGGGCTCAAGAGTCCTTAAATGCTACCAAATCTTTAATATTTATATTAAAACCTTTCCTAATCATTTTCTGCAGATCAATTTATTCCAATGCAGATACAGTTTGCAGAAGGATTTCTGCAGGAATTTGCATTTGTACTAGAAAAGCTGAGACTTTTTGGTACCCCTTCCTCCAGTTCTCATCCTTTTTGGTTTCATGGGAATGGAATCCAGGATTTAGCCTCTAACCAGGAGTATGGGACAAGACTTATCTGACCAGCATTCATTTGCTTGATTTAGTGCAATATTTAGGGAAAGGCCACTCCTTCCCACTAAAGGATTCACATATTACCTTTTTAAATGGTCCAGAAGGAAAAGGAATGTAACAAGGTTCGGTTCTGGAAGCGATAACAATAGATTCAACATACAGCTTTCCTTTGCGACAGGGTCTGAAAGTGCTGCGAGACAGAGAACCAAAAAAACATTAACAAAACGTCACCAGAGGCAGCGAGGGAGAACTTGACTGGCAGCAGGATTTCCCAGACCAACAGATGTGGATGCTCCTTAATGGACAGCAATTAGATCACAGGTTGCAAGGTCAGAGTTGCACATCAATGCCTCACAGACTTTTTTTCCCTTTATTTCACAGATGTGTAGAGATTTCTTTTCCCTTAAGCAGTTTAAGTGCTTTGTGGCCTGCATCAAGATATGAGAAGCTCTATCCCCTACAAAGTAGACCTCTCCAGAAGATTAAATAGGGCAAATAATATACACAGCCTCCACAAACAGGCTGTTGTTCTATTTTTAACTTCATCTCAGGGAAAAATAAAAAAGGTATTTTCAGCTTCTAAAAGCACAGCAATTGCTCAAATCAAGCAAGAGACAACTTTACATCTTGTTTCTGAGCTGCCTCTCGCTTCCCTTCCAGCATTTCTAGGCTTCAGTCCAACATTATATATATGGCTTTTACATAGTTTTAAAAGCAGGCTCCTATGAAAGACTATTTTTTGTTTGCTTTTTTAAAAGGCCCATATTCTCAAAGGTTATTTTTGCTAATACCTACCAATTCCCTCAGCAAAGTTGGGGTACAATTCATCTGTGAAGAGAGGTTCGGGCAGTTCTCGGAAGTAGAGTTTTAATGTGCCTGCAATGGCATTAACGTCCATCTCACTCATCATCACTGACACATCTTTGTTATCTGAAAGAGAAGAGGAGTTGCAGGTAAAGAAGCTGCTGCCCTTTGCGCACTCATTCTTTTTTCTTGCTGTGACTCTCTCTATTTCTCCTTCCTCTTTGACCAAGGAGCAAAGAGTCTTCCTGTTTACATTGCTACAGATTGAACAAGCAGTTCTGACAACTGAGGAGTGCCACGGAAATGATTCAGATCAGCAAGAGGGAATTTAGCACCATCCAGGGTGCATTATGCTGCGCCAGCAACCTGTGCCTGATCTGAACAAGCCCTAAATGACTTTATTTATATGCATTTTAACTTTCTGTTAATGACCACAGTGGTCATTCCAATTTCCTACCTCTCCAGCTTAGAGTAAGAGACTCAGACTGTCTAACTCCCCACCGTGTGTAGTTAAAATATCTGGTTAGCCAATTCAGGGCTCATGTTCCAGTTTTGCTACCGTAAAGACACCACAACCAACCATTCTTACCCAAAACAGAGACCAGCCAGCAGAGCCATCTGTGGTTTCATGAAGACTAGTGCAAAAACATAATTTATTGCAAGTGAAAAAAGGTGTTATTAAAAAAAAAAAACACAATAAGGAGGGAATTTCACACAAAATAAAATAAAAATGCAGGGTGGATGAGTTCAGCCATTTGGCACAGGCCTGGTGACCACTTATATCAAAAATGGCTCAAATGAGGCTTGAGTGGTGCCTAAACCATTGTGTGGAGGCTGAAAATAGGACAGAGTTTCACCTTTAGTACCTCACTGATTTAGAAGTGGTTCATGTGACTGATCTTGGATGCCTTTTGGGGCACAAATGCCTTTCCTTTCACCTTGGCTCCACTATGAAACCCTTTCCTACCCAGGATCAAAGAAGGCTTCACCAAGGTTGGTCAAAATTATCTAATTTTATGAATTTCTCATGCCAAATGAGTCATGGAATTATGAAAAGAATGCAGGAGCTCTGAGCACAGTAGCAGATCAGTAGAAGTATCTACCCTGTTGTGTGTCTCAAGTTAGAGCAGCAGCTGAAGAGGACCAATAAAAAGTACAGCCAGGGCTGCAATAATTCTCCTTCCTCCAAAATCTCTACCTCCTACTACTTCTTGGGGCCGTTAGGATTAAAAGTGGCCCTGCTGCCTGACAGGGTGCTCACACAGGCTCTCCTAGTGCCAAGGGCCGTCGGACACGAATACTTACTGACATCAAAGGCAGCTTTCAGGGCCTGGATGTCGGTGGCGACGCCGGAGACGCGGTAGATGCCCACCTCCTCCATGCCCCGCCGCTCTATCTCCTCCACGCACTGGCGCACGATGTAGGGCACCTTTGATCTCTCTCTCCTTGGGAAAGCCAGAAGCAAGAGTTGAGTATGGACCTCACCACCAATGCCTGTCAGCCCAGCCAGGCTGGCTAAAATGAAGCCATGGTTTTGCTGTGTAGAGCTCTCCTGAAGGATGGAGTGAGGGAAGGGCAGAGCAGACAGGCAAGAGAGCTGGGAAGCTCCTTTTAATATTGGAGAGGGTTTTCAGTATCTCAGGCTTGGGTGTTCTGCAGCTGCCTTGTGTGCTGGGGCTTTTAGCTGAGTCCTGGCATTCCCAGTGTTTGCAACGCTGGGCAGGTAACCAGAGGATTCCCAAACAATCCTTGGATACCTAGCAACTCTGTTGCTATCAAATTAATGCAATTCCATAGGGAGGAAATATCGCATTTCCCAAACTATTGACCAGAACAAACAGGTTTCTTCTGGCAAACATTTCATAACAAAAGATCAGGGGGTTAAAATAATACTGCAAGATCCAAAGAACTTGAACATTTCCGATTATGGAAAGGAAATACCGCTGGTCGGTGGCTCTGGAAATTTGTGACCAAGTCAGCTAACTGTGGAGTAAAGGGCAAGAAGAGGAAAAGGGCATTTCCAGCACTCAGAAGAGTTCAGGGTGCTGGAAGTAAACACCCTGCATTGCAATCTGTGCGTGTGCTGTGGCTTTCCGTGCAAGGAATGAAGCTGGGAGAAAGCAAAGCCTCTGCCTTCTGCAGCAGCAGCCACCTGCCCCGCTGGCCGAGGGAAGGAGGAGAGTGTCCTGGCACATCCCTTGTGGGGCAAGGACAGGTGCGACCCACTGGCCAACTATGTTTTTTAAAAGAGCAGTAGGGAGAAATGTGACCCAGGAGCTCACTTGGTGACGATAGCAATCTTGACGCCAAAGACCCCTGTCTGCTTGCGGGATGGCATCCTTTTCAGGCTGAATTCCCGGCTGGTAAACTTCACCGACAGCTTCACTTCAACCTGGAAAAAAAAGAAACGGGCTGTTACATTTCAAACTGTATTTTCTTCTCTTTTCTTATACTGCAATGAAGAGCAAAGAATTAAACCCCCTAGGAGGAGTCAAAGCAGCGCTGTTTTCTGCACTTACTCCGTTCATTGAGATGACCGTGCGCTGCCAGTCTTTGTCCTGTAATGCCTGCGGGTCCAGCTGAAAAACAGGAGAGTTTCCCATGAGCTGGAAACAGACTTCAGAGGAAAACAAGTAGCCTGGGGAGGCTTTGAGGCAAGCAGAGCATTGCCATTTTCAACAGCTTATTTCACTTCCATAGGAAAACACATTTCCCGAGGATTTGCAAGTCTGCAGGAGCAGGACACTCTGATATTGCACCCTTCTCTGAGCCAGGCTGCTCCTACCTCATACCCACCTTGGAAAATCCAGCAACAAATGTGGAATATGGAGGAAACCTCAGCGTGCAAAAGCAATGTTTGAGAGCTGGTAACCCCACCTTTTGCTCTCAATGGCCGTAGCACAACAGGCACGTTAACAAACAGCAAAAGCCACCCCATGTCCCAGGGCTGGGAGTGAGAAAAAGAAAGGCAACGTTTCTAAAATAGCTCTCATGGGAGATAGAGGAAAGACTCTGCTGCTCCTTGTCTCACAAACAGCCACTGCAAGAAAGCTGCAGGCTCCCAAACCCAGCTCAGGGAGGATCTCGTCTGTTCCCTAACTTGTTGCTTCAGAGAAGCTTTTGAATATTTATTTTCCAAGTTCAGGAAAAACAAGATCAAGAATTGAGGCGCTCCTGCGTCTCTGTGTGCACACACATACACCCTGTCTGTGCATTCACGAGTGCTTCATTTCCGTTTGGGAAGCCGTCTCGTAGCTCATTTTCACAAGCAAAAAAAGTTAAACAAATGCAAGCCCTGAAATAACTCAAAGCAGACAGATAAAAGCCGCAGCCTGAGTTCCCATTTTCAGCTTCACTTGATCTCATCTGAGGGGACAGCAGGAGGGTTGGGGAACAGCCTAGTCTAGTGCTCAAAGCAGCATCCCCAGTGCCTGGGAGAGCCCCAAAACATGAAGCTGCTGCAGGCTGCTCCCCAGCTCCAGGTGCCCTGGGAAAGGAAAGAGAAGAATTCCCTGCATGGGAATTCTGTCAGCAAGCAGAAATGGAGCAAAGGAAGCAGATTTTGGTGGTGCCTGAGCCAGCTTTGTACAACCTGTTCTCCAGCACCGAGACGCAGCCAGGCTGGGAGCAGACCACAAGGCTCGAGCATGAGGCAGCCCTGCCGCAGATGCTGCCCTTCCAACCCCGCAGAGCGGTGCCCGCTCTCACGAGTCCCTGCTGCACTTGCTGCCCAGGGCACTACATCCCCGGGACTACCACATGCAATCACATCAGAGCCCCTTTCAGCCCCCTGAAAGAGCCCGGGGCTGCTGCCAGCTGGAGAGGAGCCTGTCCCTCCCTGCTCCCCAGAGAGGACACCAGCTGCGCCCTCGCGCCCGCTGCAGAGACCCAAAGAAGCTGGACGAGCTGACGCGGGGCCGACCTTATCTCTGCGCACCCTGCTGCGCACGTGGGCCCAGAGCGGGACGCCGCCAGCGCATCCATCCTTCCCCGCCGAGTCCGAGCGGCTCCTGGAGGTGCAATTGTGGCAGAAATTCCTGAAGACCCCGTGTAAGGAATAGTCAGTAACCAGCAGCTCCCACATCTTGGGGCTGCACAAGGCCCGAGGCGCAGGAGGGCTTCGCTTCGGGGCTCCAGCAAACCCAAACAGCAGCCTCTTTGCCAGGGGGACCTGCTTATAACGCTGGCGGAAGAGATCCGCCCCCGCCTGCGAGGCTGGCCAAGGTCTCTGCGAGGTGGCCACAATTTGGGCTGTTCTCCCCTGGATTTCCGTGCTGGAAGTTCAGTTTCTTTCAACAACTGCATTCCTTTCCCAGAATACAGAGGAAACCGTTTCTGAAGTGTCTGGTTTCCTACAAGGAGGAACCGTGCTCAGGATGCTGGAAAACTTGACCTCCAGCTGCCTGAAAAGTTGCCTCCCAGTCACGCTGCCAAAACAGCCCTGCTGATGCTCACAGTTACAACTGACCCTCCAGCTCGGGGGCAGTTTTCCATTTGCTTTAGCCTGGAGTCCCTAAAGAGGATTATCTGTAGCAGAAACACAATACTTAAACCTAAAGGGAGAAAAGGGGGTTGAATATTTGCAGAAATGCTAAAGGAAGGTGCCAGCGTTACCTAATTTAACAGGTATTCCCAGTTACCCCCAGGTTCTAGGTTATGTCTAGTGAGCTCCTACCACGGTGAACATGAAAGCAAGGGAAGAGATGCTAGAAATACCCAAGCTGACAACTCGATCACACAGGGAGCAGGTCTGACTGCAGGGACACATGGGGAGGAAAAGCAAGGGGAGCAGGACCGGCTGCCCCGAGCCAACCCTGCACAAAGCACTGGTGCCAACAGACCAAACAGAGCAAAACAAGCACCAGTGCCCCCAAAAATAACAACTCAAGGAGCTTTGTAAGGAACAAAGTGAAATGAGGTAAGGACATGAAAGAGCAGACGTTGACTACTTAGGAATCTCGTCGCGCGGCGCGAGACAGGAAGGTCGGGTCTAGCAGTCTGATAAGTCACAGCAGGAAATAACAGTGGAGGGGAAGCTGTGACTGTCGCGGGGATTCGGAGCCGGTTTCCAGCCCTGGGCGCTGCAGGTGCCTGGCCCTGCGGAGCTGGCGGCAGCGGACGGGCAGCAGGAACACGTGGGTTGCAAAGCAAGGGCACAGAGTGCAAGTGAGCGTGATGCTGCAGCCAAGGGGGCCTGGGACAAGGGGGTCACACCGTCTTTTGGCCCCGTTTGGGGATTGGTGACCTGGAAAAGGGAACAGAAGAATGAAGTCTGCTGAGAGCTGCGGAAAGGAGGCAGCTCCGAGTGAGCCTCAGTGCTCACGTGGTGCAAGATTCACGTACCTCTCAACATCCCCTTCCAACTGCTGCTTGGGCTGGATGGCAAAATGACCTGGCCTGTGACCATTGAAACCCTGAAAAATTGTGTGGTGCTCCCAGGACCATCCAAACAGGAACAGACTTGGGAAACTCTCAGAATGCCCCTTCCCACATGCTCATCCACAAGCTGGGGACGGCTGAGCAGAGCGCCCTGGCCCTCAGGGTGGTGGGAAGAGTCGGGAAGACACCCAGGAAGTGCAAACTTTGGATGCTGGAAAGGATGAGCGAGAAGCAGGAGGCCGAGGAGAAGGGAGCCTGGGCTCTGCTGCCGGGAAGCACCGCGGCGAGTGCCGAGGCTCCCGGAAAGCAAAGAACACGCATCCTAGGAGCAAAACCAATAAGCACCAGCGGAAGTGAAATGCCTGGGAGCGAGGCAGCCTTAAGGGTAGTGGGTTTTACGTTATTTATTCGCATTGCTTCCTCCCTTTATTAAATCTCCACGGCAGCTTCACACTCCAGCAATTTTTAATTGTAAGTGATGTGACATAGATGTCCTCGGAGTCTCGCTGCTGCTGGGAGCTCCCAGGCCGGCCGTAACGCTGCTCTTCCCAAAGCTTCCCGCTGACATGTTAATCTTTGCTGCCATCACCCTTTAGACACGACCCGTTGCCTTCCTCATTTCCAGCCTTCTTTCATTGCTGGGGTACTGTTCTGCATGAGCAAGCTGCTTAAATGAACCTGAGCGGGTAAAAGGCTTTCTGGGTTGACACTTGGGAGGGACGGCATGTGGCAATCTGTTTTACATGGAAAACAATCTAGATGTCTGAAATAGCCATGTGCAGGGCTAAGAGACAGCCCAGATAATTAGGCAGATAAGAGCGATGCTTCGCATGGCAACAGAGGAGCTGCTTGGAAAGGAGCCTTCTCAGGTCACATCCTCTCTGATTTTCCAGCACTGCTGGAGAGAAGGAAATGTTTTGTCTGAGCTCATCACGCAGCAGAAGGACCATGGAGGAGGCAGAGGTTCCAGGCAGCACCAACTGGAGGAGATGGATGGTGGGGTAAAGACTTGGTTTGCTCGTGCTGTCTGCTCCCAAAACTGAGGTCGCTTTTGCTGACATCTGGGCCCACTTGGGTGCAGCGTCTCAAGACCAAAGAAAAGGCTCCTACACTCGAAACGTGGGGACTGGCTTGCCCTCCGATGAGAAAATTCCAAGGATAAAAGGACTGGCCTCCCAGGTGCCAAAGATGGGTTGCAAGGTAACAACCAGAAAAACAAACAAAAAAGTTCAAAATAAGAGGAGCTGAAAACTAAGCCTCAGGTTCTCCACTCTAATAAAACATCTCTGTCCTCCTCTCCCCAAAATACCAGATATTCCTAGTTCCTGGCACCTTTTCCATGCATCTCTCAAAGTCTAAGATAAAACAGAAACCCCAACCCATGCAAACAAGTTCGCTGAAGGGCTGCACGGCCAGTGCTGCCATTCCCAAAAGATCTGATGAGGACTTCCCTTCTACATTTACAAGAGGCACTCCCTTATTAAACCTCATGGTTTTATTCTTCGGGGAGAGAACTCTCAGCGTGACAAGCAATGAAGCTCTCGTATGTGGCTATAAAACCAGGTAAATAAAATATTCCATAGGAAGAGAAAATATGAGCAATGGGAGCTATTAAAATTAGTGCCCATTCCTGGAAGCCTCTGAACACACGGACCAATTTCCAGTCTTTCTTCCACCAGTGCCATAAAGTAATGGAGAGATTTAATAAACATGTCACAGCAGACACAGTCCCAAGCTCCTGGATGCATTGTTTTCATCTGCAGTGCAGAGAATTCGGTGAGTCAGAAATCCCAGGAGTGGGAAGTTGCAGATTTACAATAATAATACACGGCTTAACAATACGCTGTGCTTTGGCCAACACCGAAATTTCCCTGTGTTTATCAGCACTAGGATGTAGACATGACTCTTGATGTTCCCACCGTTTTCCACGTAAGGGAATTTTGGAAAAAAAATCTCAGCCAATTTGACAGACCTTTACACGGGGCAGACCTCAGCTGAATGGGGACAATGACAACAAAAATGACAACAAACAAAACCCTACTTATAGACAAACCTAAAGTAAACAAAGCTTAATGTAAAAGTACCTGTGAAAATCCCAAAAGAAAATGAATACAAAACAAATGATAGCAAAAGATGCTGACAGCATTACTACAACTAACCTTCAGCTACGGATTCTGATTTGATTTTCTTGCTATATTATTGTTATTTCTTAATAGAGAAAAAAATTGATGGTTTCCTTTAAAATAATAATAATAATCCTTTAATAATGTTTATCAATCCCAAGTCTTACCAGTGTGTGTTATGACTTCTCTTTACAGTTCCTGAGCAATGCTAAGAAACTGTCTTATGGGATGGAAACCAGAGAGAGCTGGAAGGCCTCCGACAGACCACGCTCTGAGAGGTCTCTGGGTGGCCTGGGTCCACAGGAGACACACGGTACCAGCACCTTTATTTATCTGCACGTGCATTTTCTCTCAATTATCTACCAGGTCTTGGGACAAAAATTTCCCTACAGACAGCATGGCAACCTCAGGACAAGGTGGGAGAGGAAGGGACTGGTTCATTTAGACAACAAGCCCTTCTCTAGTAAAGGTGAGATAGGATCCTGCAAGCCATCCTTGACCAGAGCTGGTCCAGCTCTGTTTCACCCAGACACTGGGGGAAGCTGTTCAAGGAGTGGTAAGAGCCAAATGTAATGAGGAAGAACTGACAGTATTTTTTCAGAAAGTGAAAAAATAATACATTTCTGGACTGTGCATCAGCTTTGAACAACACCCAGTTCCACTTGGAAAATGTGTCCTCAGAACCATCATTTAACTCCCCAGCAGGACACATGGATGGTGCAGCAGCCTGGAGAAGGACGGGGACCACGTGCTCTCCAGGTCATCCTGCACCAGGGGATCCTGTCAGGAGCTTTGGCTCTTTATCCCATTGCAGCTCCCTGAAAGCAGCATCCGCTTTCAGTCATTTCATCAGCTCCCCCACTGCATCACAAATTCACCTCACGGCCGCGGTGTCCCCTGCTGATTCTCGGTGTGGGAAGTTCAGGGAAGCCAATTGTCTTCCTCAGACAGCCTGTTGTCATGGCCACTAAACTCTGGATGCGGGACAATAAGCCCGTCACCCTCCAAGGCTTTGCCAGCACTTCAATCAGCTGTCAGCGTGTACCAAGGTAGCAAGGATTTATGGCAGGGCTGCTATCTTCATTGCTTCCCTTTTCTTACCCTTCACTGTGCCACAGATGGAGGATACTCAGCAGTGCCCAGGTCCTGGGGACTGCGCAGTTACTAAATAACATCAGCACTTCCAGAAGAGTAAGGGGCAAACTGGAGATCAAAATACGGTTTCTTTTGAGAAAGCATCTATTCCACAAGGGTAGTAAAATAGGGGATGAGGGAGGAGGGAAAAGGCTGCTGACTTCCCAGCTATGAATCACCCATACTGTCTTCCTCACTGTCTGGAGAAAAAAAACCCTGTGTTGAGACTTTCAGAAGGCAGAGCACAACATCACAAGACAACCCAGCATTCAAAAGTCCTCTTGTGTTTTGCAGTGAGGGGAGGAGGAATGAGCTAAACAGTTGTCCTACCTGGATCTGGCCTTTCCCCATTATGCGGTCCGTGCTTTCCCCATCCTCTTTGGTGAGCTTGGTTTTGTTGTAGCACTTCTCGTAGCACAGAATCCGCAGAGTCTGGGAGCCTTCCAGCTCAATCTCAAACTCCTGCAGGGCACCAGGAAGCAAACAGCAGTGAGTACATCACAGCTGGGTACTGCTTCTTCGTCACCTATAGAGTCTCCTTAAAGCTTATCATAAGGGAAGGCTCACAGACTGACCAAAACCTCCTGCCTAATGGAGTTGCTCTATAAATAAGCTGAAATTGTATTTTGTATAGATATAATGTGGATATATCCGAGACAAGAAAGATAGTTGATTCCTGAGACACATGTCACTGAATTTCAGTGAAGCATCATTGGAAGAAATGAACTCAGCACATTCCCTGTATCCAATTTTACTCCCTAGCAAGTTTACAAGTTGGCTGTAAACAGGCAGAATGTCTATAACTAATGCCCCCCCGCCCAGTAAATTTACAAAATATTGTCACTGATACCTTTTAAAAAATAAAAATAAAAAATAAAAATATCTCTTTAAATGATGAGATACTGACAGCACAAAGCTCTTCTTTTGCTGAAATGTTGATTAATTACAGATAACCTAAGAGAAAATCTTTTGCAAGGACTAAGGGCTAGGTGAGATGTCAGGACTATGTCACAAATAAGATTTTTGGGAGGCTGCAGCACAAGTCCTGAGCGCCCAGCGCACGCTGCAGACAAACTGTTCTCTCCTCTGCCTGCACTGCTGTCTGGCACACGGAGCAAGGCGCATGGAGAACAACCCAACCTACCTCATTCCAGTTGGGCTCTGTGGTGTCCCTGTAGACTCTAGTTTTAGCTTTGTTCACGAAATACCCAAAAGAATCCACCTCTAACGTGCAGTACAAGTCTGAGAGAGAAAAAACAGACACTAAGACTTTGTTCCAGCTGCAAAAATCTACACCCTTAAAGGGTTTCTTCATCTATATCTTCAGTGCATTAACACAAGTAACAGTCCAGTGCAAACCCTGCTTATCATACAGTGTATTTTGAACAACAGAGTTGTCTTTAGGAAGCCAAAGTACCAGTGGAGCAGTGGAAACAACTTCAGCATGGACAAGCCCTTCCCCTGCAGGCAAATTCTGGTGCATGCTGGTAGCCAGTGCTGGTGTATCCAGTCTGGGGTATGCTGGGGTAATCCATCCACCCTGAGCACAAGTTGTGCACTTCTGCAGAAATTCTCTGCTTTTTACCTCTTTTGACCTTTCTGTCACATCTTTGCCCTGATTTTTTACACTTTTTGCTTCCTACAACAGACACCATCAAATCTGATGTCAGAGACTGTTTCTCATCCTTTTACTGTATGAAAAACAGAGGATAAGGCTTGACTCGTACCTTGGATTTCAAGGTCATTAGCAAGCATGGCTTAAAAACCGAAACAATCAAAACTCCACAGAAAAGTTAGGCCTAGAGAAAATGATGCACACTTGATCCTGATGCTTCTAAGAGTTATTATCAGTTTTGCAAACCCCTAAATTTTCACCAGTGCCTCCCTTTTCACTCCTACGTTCCCAAACCACCTCTTGTTTTCACCACCATCCCAGATGCTGCAGTTCTACATCAATCCACCCCCAGCTGAATGGCCTCAGCCAACCCTTAGGAACCACCGCTGTGCTACAGAACTGGGACTCACTCGAGCTCTGCTTGAATCCCGTGGCAGAATGGACGATGACGTTGAGGAACCCATAGAGACCCGGCGATTCATCATCTGCACAAAAGAGAAATTTTGTTGAAGTTCATGGAGAGGCCAAGAGAGAGAAAGAAAGTGATGAAATGGGTATTTCATAGTTTTGTGAGTCTGGGGTAAGGTTTCCTTAAAATGCATGGCAGGCACACATTATTCAGCCAATTTTGTAATAGGGAGGAGAACTCTTCCTGGTTAAACGGTCTGTTCCATCTGTAAAACTGTCTGGAATTTGGGGGTTTTACAAAACCACTTTCAGGGCCAACAAGACAGCATGGGAGAAATTCAAATGTGAACAAGTGAAATAGAGAAGCTAAGTCTATACTAGCCAGTTAAATAGTAATTTAGGCACTGGAGTTAACTGCGATGGTCTGAGAGGCAGTTCTGACTCTTGCCAACTGGGCCTCTTCCAAAGGGTTCCCAGGTGAACTTCAGGAGTTGCCCCAGGCCAGGGCTCCCCAGGTCCTCGGCTCCCTGGCAGGAGATGACAACAGCCCTGTGTGTAAAGGCTGTTCAACAGTCATGGAACAGGTCCTGGAGGATGGTCCACGGATGTTTATTTTTCTAGCAGAGATGTAGCCATGCAGTCTGGAGCTTGTATTTTTATTGTTGTTGCAAACGGAGATCACTAATTGCCCTTGTGTCTGCTGCTCTCTCTTTGTACGCTATCATCTCCTGTAGCTAACCTGCAGATGAGTGTTTGTGCTCTCAACTTTTGTCTTACAGGAGGTACCAGTTTGTCACCTGTCATCAAGCTGAAGCCTGTAGCAAAAAGGAACAGCAAGGGCAGCTCTGGGGGGAATGCACAGAGGCAGGTTTACTCTCCAGCTGCACTACATGAAGGCACAAGCCACGGTCTCACCTTCCTTGTTGATAGTGAGGGGAATGTTGTGGACTGTCTGCAGCTTCACGCAGGAGTTTGTCAGCATCTGGAGCTCCACTGAGGTGAGCGAGAAGCTTTTAAAACCTGCCAAGGGGGGTTAAAGGACGAGTTAAAATTCAAAGCATAGACTGGATGCCCCTCGCTCTGGTTATACCATGCAGAGCAGCTCCCTGTGACAGCACCATGGTGCTTATGGCTGTGCTACTGCTGCAGCCCACCTCTGTGTAGGGCATATTTAGTTACCCTCTGCTGTAAAAATCTCAGGGCAATGCACGGAACTAAAGGGACTCTTATTTTCTTGCAAAGTCAAAAATAGACCTGTTCTAAAAAGTAAATGTTTCTTGAGGCTGCAGCCAAGTACACGGATTTCAGTCAATGATCCTTCCGCACACTCACCGAGCCCACGCTGGGCAGCCCCTCGCTGCCCTGCCTGCTGTTGCAAGCAGAAGTCTTCAGACAGACAGACCCAGATGAAGACAGACAAAGGACACCCATGTTGTTCAACGGATGTTGCTGCACATCCCACTTTCTCGTTGCTGCACCTTCTTTAGGCAACTCTGCCCCACACATCACCCCCCACACCACCCCTCTGGAACGCAGCTCTCCAAAGCAGCAGAGCAGCATTCACACCACGGCCCAGCTGGGGGACACTCACACTTCTTCTGCTGTTCCCGGATGTTCTCCCTCCACTCTGCCCTTTCGTAGTCCGATGAAATGAGGAATGTGTAACTCTAGGCAGGAAAAGGGAAGGAAAGAGGCTATGAGGGGGGCCAGGTTTGCCCTTCCCAGCACGGTGCAGCGGCCGCGCTCCTGCAGCCAGAGCCCTCGTCCTGCACACGCAGCAGGGCTCCCAGCGGCAGCAGCTCCGCGCGGCCCTCTCCTCACTCCAGCTGCACCAGGAAACCCAACAGGCTTCACCACAGGCCTCATGCTGGTGTGAGCAGGGGAGCGGGGGCATTTGCACTGCCTCCCAACAGGCCCTTTGTGTGTAAAGGCCACCAGGAGCAGCCCCAGTGTCCCCAGAGGCGGCATGCTGAGCTTCCACGAAGCTACAGGGGATTCCTGACCCCCATTCAGCAGCCCTGGATGCTGCTGTGTGCACCCTGGAGCAATGAACAGAGCCTCCAACTTGAAGGTGAGGCTAGAGCTGCTGCAGGACCTTCTCTCTGGTGATGGAAGCACTTTCCATTGCTCTGCCAGAGCAGCTGCAAGCACAGCAGGTGCTGAAGTAGGGGAAATCATTTTTAGCCTTATTTTTAAATGCCAATGTCCCATGCAAATGAATCAAAGACGCCACCACAGCCTTCAGTGAAGGCAAAGGTTTGGTGACTGCTGCTTTAACGCCAGACACTAAGGGACAAAACAGACACCTAAGGTCTCACTGTGCAACAGCATTTACAAACACAACCTGCCATGGGGTGATTCCTGGCGTACACACGAGCTCCGTGGCAGCCGGGGAGCCGCTCACCTTGCCGTTGCGATTGTGCACCCGGAAAGCCATGTTGGGAGACATCAGCAGCAGGAGCGATTCCTGCTCCGAGAGCTTCTTTTTCAACCTCTCAATGACCTTGCTGCCCTTATTGGCCCTCTGGGGAGAAGGAGAGAAAGGGAGAGAGAGGGCACAGGTCATTCTCCAACAGCTGCCCCAGCATAGCCAGGCTTTGGCACTGAAAGTCTCTTCCCTGTCTGAATCAGGCCGTGGCTGCAGGCAGCAGAAGCGCTGTCAGCAGGAGCCAGGGCTCCGAGCTGCTCAGGGACACGCAGCTTTGCAGCCCAGGCCACATCTGGGCTGGCTCTGCGCCCCATTCTGGCTGCCCCAGGTACAGCCTGACGCAGAGCACATCCATGGCCTGCGCTGGGCCCATTTCCATGCCACTGAAATGCCACAGGATGCTCTGCACACACCCGCAGCGGGAGGGAGAGGCAGCTCTGGGGACAGAGCCCTCTCCCAACCACCACCTGCCAACATCATTTCAGCAGAGGTCACCTAAATGCAAGGCCTCCCTTGGACAAGACTAGACCCAAAGCCAAGCCACAGACATTGCCTGGTATTGATGCATGAAGTTTGTACCTCAGGCACCTGTAGCCTTTAAGTAAAAAGCTTCCGTGGCTTAAGATTCCTCCGAAAACTTTCTTATCCAAGAAACCCTCTCTGGGAGCCAGCCAGGACAGAGAGTAAGACGCATTTTCTTTGGAATTGCGGGGGATAAACCTTTCGTGGTGCACGCAGTGTTACTCATATCCTGCTCTATTACCTGCAGGTTTCAGTTTTTAAACTCTTGTTTCTGTTTTGGAGAAAACTGGAGTTTAACAGCCTTGAAAAAACGTGTCTGGCAAGTAAGGAGAAGCCCAGGCCAGGGACACTACATCCATGTTAGACTGTCCAGGGTATTTGATGTTCTCCATACATCTGCTGGTTGTACTGCAGATAGAGCAAGCACTGACTTGCTCTTTATGCCACTTGTTCCACAGCTGCCCCACAAGTGTCTGCTGAAGAGTCAGTCTTAGCAGGATTTGCCACCGTACACAGTTCTGGGAAGGCTGCTTCCACCAGTACATCTCAGTAAAGACACTCCTGAGCTGAGTCTGTTGTGCCCTTGGCACAGAGTGCTCAGCTCATCCTACCTTTTCTCGTTGGATGTCATTCTTGATCTGGGATATCTTGATCTTCATGGCATCCAGCTCCTCATCCGGTACCAGCGGGATATTGGGCACTGCCTCACACTCATCCACCATCTGGAAGCTAAGGTCAGTGAGCGGGATGTACCATTTGCAGTCGTACTGCTGGCTTTTCCTGAAAGGCAAAGGGTATTTCCACATACCTTTATAATATGCTTTATACTTTTATATACACTATAGCTTTACTCACTCCCCTTTCGTGGGGAGTGAACTCAGGATGCTCACTCCCCGCTCCCATAAGTCCTTCCTTGTTACAGTTCATAATACATAGATAAGGGAACAACCTCACTGACTCCTATGTGAAAGAAAAAGAAAGTCTGGTAAAGGGCTGCTTTCCAGCAAGAAAGTCTAGAAGGGCCAATCGCCAGTAGAGCACACAAGAAAGCAGGTTGCTTTGTGAGCTGGTTCTTCCCATCCTAAGCCATCACAAATCCCTTTTACAATCTGCTTTGGTCCAACTCTTGGGCTGTGGGTCTAAACCCTCGTGTCACCTGCCTGAGCTGCTAGGGCCAGAGGGGACAGACAAGGCAGTGCATAAACCCCGGGGCAATCCAACCAGGGAGGAGGGACAGTAACTGCAGCTGATTGCTGCTCCCCAGTGCCTTCACGAGCATAACTGGCTGTCCCTTTTTACCATTTCAGGTGCTATCTTCCCTCTCCATCTCAAACCCAAGTCTGCTCGTTGTCACTTTTGACAAGTGCCAATGAAGCTGTTTGCACAGGGGTACCCTGGAGCAGACGGGAAGCAGAGGCTCTTTGTTGCACCTGCTCCTTTTTACTGCAAGGCTGTAGCTGCAAGGCCAAAATCAGTAACTCAGTAATGAAATGGAAAAGGAGTAGGAAACATGAATGGCTTTTTTTTCCAGAATATGAAGGGCTGAAGTGTATCTTTTTCTTAGGAAGGTTCTTAGGAAAAGGAAAAAGGAAAATTAAAAAAATAAATCCCTCCTATGGGATCAGAATGCAGCCAAGGTCTCGCATGACTGGCGGTGCTGCCTCGCTGAACGTGTCCTTTCTGACTACGTGTGGCTGCAGTTCCTCAAGCCATTACCCTTGAACTGTCATTGCTGCCTGACCCCGGGGCTCTGCTGAAGCTGGGGCGGGAGAGAAACCTCACCCTCCAATCTGCTTCTTGAGCTTGGCACACAGGAAGAGATCAGTGAAGAGAAAGACGTGCCGCAGCTTGCGAGCCCCCTCCACCAGCTCCACCATGAAGCTGTCCTTCAGGAGCTGCCGGTGCTGGGGAGGAAGCACAGAAGGTATTTTCGTTAGCGCAGGACGAGGCCCGCAGCCTCCCTCAGCCTCGCCGCGATCCAAGGGGCCTCCTGCAGGAGGCAGCTCTGTGCAGCGGTGCCAGCTCTGCCCCTGCCGTGCTGCCAAGGCACCCAGCACCCACCTGCAGCCCGACTGCGGCCTCTCCTCTCCCCACCTGGACCCGAGCAGGAGCTTGGTTTGCCTTGAGGCCAGGAGCAGCCTCCTCTCCCTGCACGCCAGCAGGGAGCAGCAAACGCCGCTTTTCCCAGGCTCTTCCCCTCGGATCCCTGGTGGGGCTGCAGGATGGAGCGCACGGCCGGCCCAGCAGCAGTGGTGGCTCCTCCGCCCAGGTCTCCTCCTCAGCAGCACCCAGGGGAGACCCAGGGAGACCCCTCTCTCTGCAGCCTCCTTATGGCAAGTGCCCTTAAGGGACAACACTCAAAGAATGTGCCTTGTCTGGCAAACTTACCTGTCGTCCCTCATCAGCCTGTGTTGGAACAGGACCATCTGGATAGGCTCCCTACTTCCAAAGGCCTCTTTAAAGCCCTTTTATATTTCATATGAAATACAGGATGCAAAGGAGCTGCCCAGCCCTGATGCTTTTTTGTTCTTCCTATTTCCAGGCATAGGGAGCTTTCCAGCCTCCTGAACAAGCAGCACGCTGGAGAGCAGAGCACCTCTTTCCTGGTTCCCTCGGGGCTGCTCCATAGCCAAGGGAGGAAGAGGCCGGAACGCAGCACGGAGGGGAACAGCTCGTGCCCTGAGGAGCCGGGCAGTCGAGCCCAGCTGTCCCGGCAGCAGGATCCAGCACAGCCACAGGAACAGAAACCTCCCACCCGTTTGCATCTCTGGGCAACTTCGTTTCCCACAAATACGCGTAACCAGCAGCACTGCCCTGCTCCGGGGCTGCCAAAGGACGGCGTTGTGGGCGGCTAGTGCCTTTCCTGGCCTCAGCACCTCCTCGCTATTCCAGCACGGAAGATGCCGCTCCCGGGAGGGACATTTCCCACATACTGTGCGTGGCTGGTGACAGCGGCCGGCTTGCACTGTCCCCTGCCAGCAACACCCTGCCCAGCTGGGAAGACGAGGGAAGGGACCAGCCTTAGCACCAATTCCTGCTGCCGCGCTCCATCCACCAGCACCCTAAAGCTCCTGACATGGGCCAGGAGCCTGTGCGCTGGGCTCCGAAGGGCCGTATATATGTATATAAGTTAATGGTTATTTTTAGGTGGGTGGGATCCTCCTGGCTTCTCCCTGGTGGCTTTGGAGAGGCCTCCTGCCTGCACGAGGGTCTCTGCTGCTGCTGCACCTGCGTGGGGCCTTCCCGCTCCTGCCAGCAACCACGCCAGGTAGGAGCCACCCACAAGCAGCCAAGCTGGGAAATTCAATAATAAAAGGGAGGAGGTGTCGTGGCAGCAGCAAAGCGCTCTGCACAGCTGCAAAGAATTTCATTTGGGAGAAATAAGGAAGCAAGGCAAGAGATTTTCTCAGCAAGCCGCCCCCATCTCAGGTGGGCAGAGCTGTTGCCTACGGCTGAGGCTGCGGATGAGCTCAGCTCTGGGGCCGTGCGAACACCCCGGCGCCTCCGCGCACCGTCCCGGGGTGCAGAGCTCCGGGCCCAGCTCTGCCGCGCAGCTGCTCAGGGCTCCGTCCCCTGCCCACCCGGGCGCAGGCGGCGTGACCCGGCGCCGGGTCCCTGGGGTATCCTGCAAGCAGAGAGGCCCTGCAGAGGCCCCAGGGCCTGGAAACGCTCTTACAGAAGTAAAGGATAGAAGGGACTGGGTCAGCAGCTCACAGGGGAACATTAAGACACCCAGAGCTGTCATCCTTCCTTTGTTCTCACTAATGAGCTCGTTGGGAAGGTCTCCCTGCTGCAGAAGCTGGGGAGACATCCCACCCATGGGCACTGCCGCGAAGCTCCTGCACGGCTGCAGTGCGAGACTGCGGCCTCCCCCTTGCAAGCCCCGCTTTCCCTTCACCTCCACACCCGCCTCGTCTCCCCTCCACCCACACAAAAGAGCCCTCGCTGTGCACCTCTGTATCCAGGACATCTCCTCTGGATTGCCTAGAGCTGTCCTCCCCCGCCTGCCTCCGCTGCTGCCAGCCTCACGACTACCTGCACGCTCCCCAGCCCACACTGCCTCTCTGCTGCCTGCACGCGATGAATCCCGCGGCTGTCACGGGATTTATCCGCAGGAAGCGCCGCAGGAGAGCGGCTTCTCCGAGGGATGTTGCGAGGGGAATTCAGAAACCTGCTCGCCCGGACGCCCGGCTCCGCAAAGGGTCCCCTTTGAATCTATCCGGGTGTCTGGACGAGCAGGTTTCTGAATTGAACCCTCGGAATTCTGAATTGAATTCCGAGTGGTGACAGCGGAGGCCTGCGGCACGTGGGGGTGGCAGGGGAGGAGGGGACAGGCAGGAGATGGGTATTGGCGTGTGTCAGCGAGGAGGAGCTGCCTTAGCTCCCTGCTGCGCGTAGGAAGGAAATGATTCCTCATGCGTGTGTGTTGCAAGAGCAGCGCTGCACAATGCCGGGCTGCTCTGCCCGGGGAGCTGAACGGGCTGCGCGGCGTTTTTCAATGGCCTTTCTTTTTTCTCAAAGCTCTTGTCGCCAGGAGCTCTCTGACTCCAGCTGAGAGACAGCGTGTGAAGCAGCCGAGATGGTTTTTGAGGGCTCTGTTGCCAACATGTGCCCGGGGCCTGCGGGAGCAGTAGGCGCTAGGCTCAAGCTGTGCAGGCTGCCTGTGTCTGAGCTCAGGCCCCAGCTTCCCAAGGCTCCAGTTCTGCCCCAGCAATCCCGCTTTGTCCTCTCCCTTTCACAGTCCGTACCAAGTCCAAAACACGTTGGAGCCACGTTCAAAACACAACAGAGCAGCCTCTTCTCTACAGCACCAGGGCAGGACGAGGCCCCCAGCAGTAAAAGCCGACCCTAAATGTGATCTACAGGGGCTGAAGCTGGCAGAAACCCTGCAGAGAGCATCACAGACAGGCAAGCAGGGAAGGGACCTGCTCCCAAAGCAGCTCTGTGATCTTAGCAGTGCCAGTAGCTCCTGCTGGCCAAGAACAGGCTGAACTAGCCAGAAACACTAGAAAGGGATTTCGTGCCTTCCTCCCAGGCTGCAGTGCTGGCACGTGCCTCACCTCATGCCTTCAGCCTCCTGCCACCAGGGCAGATCTTCTCCAGGCAAGTCAAGAGGATGGTGGGGAGGAAGGCTCCATGGTGAGCAAAGCAGAGGCCTGCTCGTGGTCAGACAGTGCATGGACTGCAGCAGAGAGCTGCCAGGCACACGGTGCCGGGCCACTAAGGTCCCCCTGCCTCCCTGCGGGCATTTGTTTGGCTCTCTGGAGCACTGACCAAGTGGATGGCTGGAGATAATCCATGGAAGAAGTCAGATCGCAGAAGCAGAAAGACAAGAAGGGAGCAGAGAATGAAGCAGATCAGAGCCTAGTGACCCCCCAACAAAGTGACCAGCTGAACCGGGTTCTCTCTGACTTTCCCAAAGTATCAGCTCAGAACAAAGCACAGGGAGCCTGGCAGGCAGTGAGGGCCTCGCTCTTCCCGGCATTCCCCTAATTTGGAATCTCCTGAGGATTTGGAATTGCTGAGGATGCAATGAGGGTTGCATTCTCCATTCACCCGCCCAGCGTCACCGTTTCTGTGCCTTTGGCAGTGGCTTTGCCCCCTTCATGCCCTACCCGAGATGCTCATCTAGGCCTGCCAGCTAAACCAGGTGCCCGTGGCATGGAAAATACCCATTTATACCTAAACCTGGAATGGGAGCAGAGTTCCCTGAGCCCAGCAGGGCTGGAAGGACACGGAGCTGGAAGGATTGAGCCCGAGCCCCCGAGCAGGATGTCCCCTCTGCAGAGGGATGGTGCTGGTGCTGGTTCTGCCTTGCTCATCCCGACCACACTCCTCCTCCGCAGCCCGTCCCCGGGGACGTGAAGCACAGGCTGCTCCTCCTGCTTCAAAGCCATCACGTAGAGCAGAGCGAGAGGCTGATCGGCCTCCTCCTGCACTGCGCCCGAGGAGGGCAACGCGCCACATAAAAGGCAACGACTGGCAGAAAAAGATAAGGGAGATCAGCACCTAGGCCATACGTGAGGGTTGTTTTCCCTCCTTCCTTTCCACCGAGGAAATTTCAATGGGAGGAAGGAAAAATAATGGAAAAAAAAAAAAAAACGCATCAAAGCAGCTGGTGATTCATTAAAATAAGAAATGCATTATGCATGGAGAGCAGTCAATTAGGAGCTGTAAACTGCGCACTGCCCCGTCACCCCAGGGAAAGCAGCGGAGTGGGAGGAGGGGATAAGCAGCACGCGGAAGATCTACAGACACAAACAAACCCCAGCTCCGAGCCGAGCAGCCTGTGGGAAGCAGCAGCCGCTGGAAACCCAGGCGGAGCAGCCGGGAGCCCCTTGTGTCCTGGATCACTAGGAGGAGAGTGAACGAATGTTCTCCAAGCTAAAACAGGCTTTAGCAGCTAAACGCAAGTGTGCTTCGCTCGCAGGACTTGGGATCATCTCTTGAAGGCCCACTCTAACCAACAAACTTGTGTCCACCTTAAGAGGTGTATCCATACAGGAAGTTTGGGATTAGCCAGTGCCCTGACACCGCAATCTCACTTACACGTGGGCTGCGCTTCCCTTCGATCTAGCCTCCTAGTCTCAACACTTCTGTCAGTCTCGGCCCTTAGGAAAGGACCAAATGCAAACAAATTCCGAGGCAGACGACTCGACTCGGGCCCGGCAAAGCCTGCAGGGCTTCGCTCTTTCCTGGCACACCGGCACAGGCAGGTGAGGGAACCGCACACCCTTTAGCGCCTCCGGCACCCCGGCCACTCGCTCGCAGAGCTCAGAGCTGTCTCACACCCTGAGAGCCTCCCTTAACGTTCCCAGCCTAATCCACTTGTTTTGCTCCCGAGTTCCGTTTACGACACCGCTCCTTAGAAATGAGCGTTCACGACGTGAATGTCAATGAGAGAATGAAGATTGTAGAAAACTGCTGGGGGTGTTGCTCTTTCCCAATCTGTTGTGATTTCAGATGTATCCTTCCCTTTTTCTCTTCCCAGACACTCCGGTCTCAATTCACAGGTAAAAACAAAAGTTCTCCCTTGCGCACAGGAATATGAATACGCATTAGAGCGATGATGTGTAACATAAATAATTACGACAATGCCAAGACCCCAAAACCTACTTTCCCTCTGGATTTCCACAGAGTTTTCCGAGCAGAAAACGGCAGAGCTGCTCTCCATGCTCGGAGAACAAGGACACTGCACCAAGGGTATCTTAGCAACAAGCAAGGGAAGAGCGCAGCGGGAACGCACAGCCCGGACGCGGGAGCTGTGCAAGCAGTCGGTGCCAGCGCCCTCACCTCGCCCTTCTTCACCGTCATGGACTGCCGCCGCGGCGTGATCTCCTCGTTGATGCTGGAGAGGAAGTTCTGCGAGATGCGCAGGGCGTCCTGCAGCAGCGGGTGGTCGGGGTGCGTGGCCGGTGTGTGCTTCAGCAAATCCTGCCGGCGGGAAGGACAGCGGCACTGTCGGCAACGCGCGCCAGGAGGAAGCTCTGAGAGCCTCAAACCACATCATTGGGCCTCCAGCCTCCCATTGGGAGAGGTTTCGCCAGCCTCTCCTTACAGATTTAAGTTCTGTCTACTGAGGGAGAAGACCATGCCCTGTGCTTCTCAGCAGCACTGCTGGAGAGGCCTATCTATGGTCCTATCTACGGGCTTCCTCTCCTCGGTGCAGAGAGAGGCTTGCATGCCTCTTTTCAGCTTCATTTTTGCAGCCCGGCAGCTCCACAGAAAGTTTGAAAGGCCAAAACAGGGGAGCCAGGGGCCTCGAGCTGCCCCTCGGGTACTTACGTGCAGGACGAGCGTGCTGCGTGTCACTCGGTCCACCGGCTTGTACAACAGGGCTGGGGAGAAAGCAGCAGGAACATGAGAAAATGAGGAGGTTCCCTTCTCCAAAGCTAACGTGCTGCACAGGCAATGAAGCCCCGAGGACACGAGTGTCCTCCATGGCAAAACGCCCCTCTGCGAGCACCCGGTCCGCGAGCGAGCAAGGGTCGCTCCCTCCGTGCACCCTGCCTGCTCCCAGGGCCCTTGGGCTCTCCACGCTGCCAGGGAGGCTCCCACAGGCTGGCAGGGCAGCCCTGCCTTCTGGAGCGCTGCGGGACACTGCAGGGAGCTTCCGAAATCTGACAGCGGGCCGGAAAAGGAATGGAATTAGCCCCAGTGCGAGCCGGGAAGGAAGAGCCTTGGAGCATGGGCTACCATTTACTCCGTGCGTGTATAAAGGCAGGCACCCAATCTCAACCAGCCTCTGCAGGTGCTAGCCTAAGGAAATAAATACATAAAAGCATTTTTAGGCTGACGTTTGCACCGCCAGTCTCCTAAGATGTTGGCAAGCCTTTGCTTAGCCTGTTGTTGCCCATAGGGATCGCTTGGGTTTATTTAAGCCAGACTGGGGCTCCCCGTGCTGCTCTGCCATGAGCAAATGGGAGCTGCCTCCCCAGGCAGAGCCGGGAGAGACTCCATCACCTCCTGGCATTTATTAAGGACAAAAGGGGACACGGAGGTTTTGGCAACAGTCCCGGCCCTGTCCTGACAAACCACAGGCTCCTCTGCATGATCACTCACTTTCCAAGGAATTTTTCGTCGTCTGATCCTTTGAGTCCTTCGTGCTTCTAGCCTTCAGATTCTGAAAGGAAAAAGAAAAGCCACGTTGCAAAACGGCCACCACCTTGGAGCATCCCGTGTGAATGTGAGAGACTCTCTGCCCCTGCGAGGGAGGCCCTGAGCCTGCACAGACAACAGCCCGATCGCTGCCCAAGGGAAAAGGGGCTTTCGTGCTGGTGAAGCCCCACTGCCCCGTCACGGCCCCCGCGCAGCTCTCATACACGCACCCCTACGAAACCTGCTTTATAACAAGGGATGCAGCAACGCAGGGAACCATCCACACAGGGATGTGGAGACGTCAGTCACCTGCAGAGAACGACAGGGCCATGAAGGCCCGGCCACTGTCGCAGCACGTGTGCAGCACCAACAAATAAGGCACGGGGTCTGGCCCCCTCTGCCCCTGCCCAGAGCTCAGTGGCCTTGGGCTAATGACTCCTCTGCTCCTGGCAGGACAGGAGAAGGGCTGCGACTTGCTGCTCTGCGCAGGGACTGAGGCTCTGTGCATTAACATGCTGCGAGTGCTCCCAAGTCCTCAGCAGGACACAGACACAAACGCGCCAGCACCATCACTCCAAAAGCAGTAGGAACTGCCAGGATTTCGGGATTACCCTGCAGGAAGAGGCAAAACGCAGGGATCGCATTTACATGGAGCACCAGGGGGCCTTAATCTCCATTCTGTCTTGTAGGGGCTACTGTATTACTACTGATATATTATTATGAATAAATGGAAGAGTCCATGGGATGGAGCTTAGTACTGAAAGCAAAGCAAGTGCTGGGGAAGCTCCTTGACTAATGAGCTGCTGCAAGTGGAGGAGAGAAGAGGCCAGATAAGGGAGCAGAACCCGGAGGAAACCCCAGGACAGGGGGAAACGGAGACACTGGCTGTCCTGAGCAGCACAGCAGGTGCCAACAGGCGGCTCTCATGTCAGCACAGAGGGAAGGTTTGATTTCACCTCTTCCTCATGCAGATCTGAAGGCTGTGCAATATTGTGTGTACCCAGCAGCTTTTTTTTTTCTCCCCAAATAAACACCCCCAATATCACCCAGCTCTGATATTTATCTGCTTGTGTTCAAGGCCATCCCTGCGGAGCTCCTGTTTTCTTGGCAGCCGACTCCACGACTCCCTGCAGCGCAAGGCGCCCGTGCCCTGCAGGCAGGGCGGGGGGCCCGGGAAGCCTTCGAAGAACCTGGGCCCTGAGTGCTCTGCCCAACGGGAGGAAATCGGAGCATCCCCACACATCCCATTGAACACGATGCCCGACACCCCTGCAGTTTCCAACAGAGGCTTCCCAGCGCTGCCCTCTGCTCCTCTGCAAAGCAGCGATGCCTGCAGCTCCCCTCATAGACACGGTGCCAGCCAGCAAGGGTGGCCTCTGGCATCAGTGTCAGCGGCACCGTTAGCCCCAGAGATACATCGGCTGCTCCGATACAGTTTGCCCCCCTAGGAGCACGTGGAGGTGCCAATTCGGAGCAGTGCTGGTTGCTATGGCGGGATTCCCTGGGGGAACATGTGAGGGCTGCCCATGGATCCCTGCTCCGAGACCACAGCCTAAATCCCGGCAAGGAGCTGGGTGGAAGTGGCGCATCCGGAGGTGCTGGTGCCGCCGCAGCCACCAGGACTGTGGAGCTCCGGGCAGGAGCAGCGGCCCTGCTTGTGCTCCGAGCGCCCTGGCACTGCCTCCAGGATTCCGTTACCTCCGGACTCCGTTACCTCCGGATTCCGTTACCTCCGAGATTTCAGCAAACTGCGCGTTGGCCTGGCAGCACTTCTCGGCCGTCTCCATGGCCACCTCGTAGTTATCCACGAAGGCCCGGTACACTCCCAGCTGGCTGGCCTGCGGGGACAGAGCGGGAACGCTGACACCGGAGCACCTCCAGATCCCACCAGAGCATCCCCAGATCCCACCGCCTCCCTCCAGCCCGGAGAGCCTCCAGGAACGCTGAGCAGGGCCGCACACACGGCTCCGGCCCCACCGGGGCAGGTGCTGCCCCACATCCAGCTCCCTCCACCCTGGGCTAGTTCATTTTGCTGGCCCAGGAGGATGACACATCCATATTCCTGCCAGCTCTTTTTCCCTTCCGGATTGCCAGATTAGCATCTATTAATATTTTAGCTCTTGGATGTAACAGGAGCTGCTGGTTATTTGCCACAAAACATGAATCAGACAGGAATGATTCACCCTAGCAGCACAAATGTGACCCCAGCTACTTGTTGGCCTCAGTGTGCATGGCAGAGGGGGGACACATTGAAACAACCCCAGATCCTAGCCTGTATCTGCATTAGCAAAATTATAAAGGCAGGAGAGTGCTGCAAATAGGGTAGGCAGTGTCGGAGCCCAGCCTGGCTGCCTGGAAGGCCTTGCTCCAGATGAAGCCAGAGCAGCCCTCCGAGCCCAGCAATAAGCCCCTATTAATCACCAGGACTTAGCCCTGATCCTGTTTGCTGACTCGCATCGCAGCCGTGTTCATGCCAGGGAACGCAAGATCCAGCCTGGGGAATCCCTGGGAGGCTCCCAAGAGCGCCTGGATTGCGGGACGGATTTTGCATGGCAGAGCTGCGGCCACCTTGGCTCCCAAGCGCACGCCCACTAGCGCTGCCAAGGGCTCCACCAAAACGCAGCTTTTCACCCCAAAACTCGGCAACTATTCAGCAAAGAAAGAAGGCCGCTCTCAGGACCGGGCCCCGCGCGGTTTCTCCAGCTAACAGAGGCAAAAGGACAGCAAGCTGCAGCCCAGGGCGTACTGCACAGGCAGATTAGGAATTAATCTCGGCCCTCATGCAAAATGCCACTGTCGGGAGCAAAGTCAAACGGCGCTCGCTTCACGCCAGGGATGATCCGGCCGAGCCGAGCGGAGCCGCCACGGGGCACCGTTCCCTGCAAAGCAGCTGGCCCCATTACTGCTCATTTGCAGGGCTTAGGGGAGCCGCGCTCGGCCGCGGCCAGCCCAGCAAAGCTCCAGAGCTGCTCCCTTCCCGGCTGCTTTTCCGATTTCTTAGTACTCCTAAGCAGTCTGCTTAAGCTTCCTCTCTCCCCTTCCGAGCACGCCCTTGTGAAAACATTTTCCATTAGAAAAGGAGCTTCCGAGCAGAGCAATAAAGCTTGCAAAGAAACTGCTGGTGCTAGTTCTTCCTTTTGCGTTTAAAAGGGACACACTGAAAGTAAAAGAGCTTTGGTTAAAAAAAAAAAAAAGTGATTTTCAGTTTTAGAAAAAGTATTTGGTATTTCTGAAAAATACTAGTGATAATATTTGTTTTCTTAAACATTTCTTCACTCCTAAAGAACTAAAGTGTTTCTTTCCTAATTAAAAAAACTTTTGTTTTTCAAAATATCTCACAAAAATGAGAAGTATATTACATTCCACTGCTGATGTCTTCCCATCTGCCCCACTGCAGAAGGACGAATCTCCCCTTAGTTACACCTGGAAAAAGGTGGACTACTTGGTATGGATGTTCCAAATGGCTCCTGTTTCTTGGAAGGTCACAAGCAGTCCTGAAACTCCCTGCCTTCACTGCCTCCAACTTCCAGCTACAGTGCTTTGCTTCACAAGATATTAAAGGAAATGAATGCTCCCAGGGACTCGGGATAATAACAGGGATTCCGGCATTTATCATCAGATTGCACGACACAAGCACAAGTAAACAAGTCTGCTCCCAAGCATTTGATGCAGCTCCTGTCAGAGGCCTCCTCATTCCTGCTGCTTTTGCTGTCTCTCACTGCAGGAGTGAGCAGCTCCGTCTCATCCAGCAGCGGGTTTGCAGCTCCCATGGACACTGAGCCCAGCCACCAGAAACAGGCTGCTCAGGTAGCGCAGAGCTGCCTGCAATAAAGCAATTTGCTGCTTTGTTTCCAACACAAATCCATCAAAACTACCCTTTCTGTTAAAAAGGCAAAACCTCAAAATCTGAGGAACACACAAGGCGAGTGCCAGAAGGGCCTGATGCCCAGGCCTGCGATCCCCATCAGCAAGAAAGCCTTAAATAAGGGCCTTAGTAGCAGTGCAGTGAGTCAAAGCTCGCTTGGAAGCCACAAGCAGCAAGGAATACATCTTCCCCAATTAGTGCTACCTTCGTTACCGCCCTATCATCTCAGCGCAGCCAAGTCTCCCCTTCCAGCAGCCTGGGCCTCCACAAGCAGCAGCAGGTGCTTGTGTCTTGGTGAATTGGCTGCTCAAATTGCACACCACGAGCTCCTCACCAGGGCACCAGCTTCACCCCCTCCGGACTCAAATATGCTGGCAGTGAAAGGCAGGATCCGAAGCTGCATCCCGAGCTGCTGGGTCGCATGGAAATCCTCCTCCTCCAGGCCCATATCCCGCTCCGGAGGGGATGGAGCTGACGCTGGGCTCCACAGCTGCTAACAATTGAGTGGCCCTGATAAAATGCACTCCCCAACCAATAAACCCCGCGCTGGAATGTCACTCCTATCCCGAGAATTGGAGGCACCTCAGGAATGCCGGGATTCTTTTATTTTCTAAAAGGAAAAAGCAGCTCCTCTAATCCTTTGCTTTCTGCACACGCTAGGGGAGAGGCTAAGGGGAGGGCAAAGGAATCTCCTAGAATGCAAACAATTTGTCATCTGGCTCAGAAAGCCAGCAATGTGAATTTGGCCTCGGGAAGATGCTTTATGTGTCTTTGTCCTGTTCTGCACTCCGAGGATTTTGCTGAAATTGCTCAGGGGAGTCTCAGCAAAAGATTCACCACATCAGCAGCACAGCAGGACGAACATCGAGGCCGAGACGGCGGGAGGAAGGCAGAGCCAAAGGTGATGACCAGAAAGCAGGAAAAAAAGCAGCTCAAGGTCAAGCAAAGCACCACGGAGAGAGGGTGAATGTGCAAGAGAGCTCAGCAAAGAGGAGAAACGTGTTGCTGCCAGTATTAAAACCCACCCTTTTTAACACCACCTTCCTCTCAAGCAAATGGTTTGATGACAGTGCAGACACCCTGGAGATTCAGGCCTTGTGTAAAGCCGTGTTTGTATTACCAGCCTAGCCTCAACGGAGCCTTTAATTAAAGGCAATGAAACGGCTGCGTTTGCCCTTCCCGGCGGCGAGGCAGAGCCAGGAGGCTGCTGCCCCAGCCAGCCCGCGGCTTTCATCCCCTCCAGCCTGTGCAGGGCGATGCAAGCGGCGCCTCGGCCGTGCACCCAGGCTCACCAGCTTCTGGAAGAGGTCCCCGACGCGCTGCTGGTGGCTCCACTGCTGCACTCGCGGAAAGAGCCCATCGTAGAACTCCTTGTGGATCTCGTAGAGCTCAGGCACTTTGAAGAAGATGGTCTCGATCTGCTGGCTTGTCAGCACCGGCTGGGAGGTGGTGGCAGCTGCTTTCAGAGGCTTCATGGGCTGAAACGAGGAATCAAGGAAATTGTTGCCATGCAAAGCAAGCACAATCACCCCAGCCGCATTGCAACGTATCCCTCTGAAGACTTGTTTTTCATCCAATTAATCGGAAAAATTTGCATTCACACAGCTCCCAAAAGTGAGACATGGACAAAGGCTCTCATGGGGATCAGGCACCCCAGGTTTCTTGGTTTTCCCAGGAAATTAATGGTGTGATTAAAATCCCTTTGCACTCCATTTCTTTCATCTCTATCCAACTGCACAGCAGCGTGGCTCATAATTATCACAGGATACTGAGAAATGGGGCTCCTGGATGCACCAAATACACCCTGGCTGAGCCACATCCAGGCCTTTCCTTAGGCCTCCCCATCTCCAATAGGAAGCACAGGCACCACTGCCCGTGGTGACCAAGGGACAAGCGGGAGGTTCTGGGAATTGCTGCACCCACCACTGTGCTTACCAGCAGCAGAGCTTCCAGGTGGCTCAGGTAGGTCTCCTCGCTGGCCAGGATTCCCGACAGGACCCATTTCCTCATCTCCAAGCCCTTCTCCAAGTCCGGTTCACTCTGTGGAGAGATTGTGAGGAAGAAAACGACCCCCTGAACATGCAGCACAGCCGACTCACTCAGTTTGCTTGCCAAGAAGGTGCTCGGTGCCCAGTTTCTGCAAATATATCTAGCAATAAAACCATTCTTGCACATTTCTATTTACCAGCAACTGATGACACTTAGGAGACAATTCACAGCTTTGGTCACCCACCACTGGTGCCTCGCTTAGACGCTCAGGCTCCACATGCAACTGAAGACTCAAGACGCGCGGTCGGAGCCCGCGCGGAGCCCAGGAACCCAGCGGATCCTCGCGCTTCCAGGTATTTTGGCTCCTCAATAACCGCCCTCATTTCTCAGCGCTTTCACTGAATTGCATGAGCTGTTTTCGAGCCTCAAAGAGCTCATAGCAGCTACTCCAGAAAAACCACGTGAGGCGGCAAATCCCGCCAACACCTCTCGAATGCAAGTGGCAGACGGACGCTGTTCTGAGGAAATGAAGGAAATTTGCACCCCTCTCAGGCAGTAGGTGGGAAGCAGCTCCTGCCCGGGCCTCCCGGCCTCCCCTCGGGGAGGCTCCATAAGCAGCTCAGCGTGTTTTAAATCTGGAAAGGGCATCTCAAGGAGACAGGGCTTGGAATTTGGTGGTCACAGGCAGAATACACGCAAAAATCAAAGGGAAAGGAAAGAACGCTCCACTTGTGATAAAGGCCTGGTAAAACGGCTGCTGCAGCAGACCCTGCGGGGCTACCGGGCACTGGGAGCGGCACCGTTCCCTGGGATCTCTGCACAAAGAGTCCCTGGATGTGCAACGCAGGGGCCGCCTGCCAGGCGCAGTGCAAACAGGGAACCGCCGGTGCCGGGATGTCCCAACAACGATTCCTTTCAGCTCGGGACGCCCGGCCGGCAGTGCGAGAAGCTCCCAGTGACGCTGGCACAAGGATAACATGGCGCTTCTTGGCTCCCAAACGTTTCTTCCAACGTTTACAACAGGAAAATGCCTCTTTACAAAGAAGCACTGAGGAAAAGGAGCGGCGCTGCTGAGCTGCCGGCACCCATCAATGTGGACCCAGCTCCGTCGCCGTCCTCGCAGCTTCTCCTGGAGGAGCTGAGGGTTTAAAAACCATCCGGGTACGTCTATAACATCTGTGCAGAGCAGTGCACAACGGCAAGTCATTGAAATGATTCAGCCTTCGCTATCACGACGGTGACAGCAGCTCTCCCTTTGCAAATCAAAGCTCTGATTTATGAGCCTGTTCTCGAGGCGGCACCATCCACCTGAACCCTCATCCCCTTCCTTAAGGATCCACTTCTAGGGAGAGAAACGGCTCCAAGGAGACTCTAGGGACCTTTCTCTTCCCTCCTGGTTGCCACCAGCAAGGTCCAAGCACTCCTTTGTTCCCAGCAGGATCCGAACGTCCTCATTAGCAGAGGACCCCATTCCCCTGCCTGCCTCGCGCAGCCCTTTCCCTCGGATGACTCCACCTGTTTTTCACGTTGTCACTCTATCTCTAGCACCTATTTGTGGCCCTTCTCCATTCTCCTGGCTGCCTCTTTGCCCACACGCTGAGGAATAAATCTCTGTTACAAGCCAAGCTTGAGGCACCTGAGGAGCCCTATCAGGCACAGGAGCCCCATGGCCCCAGGCAAGAAACCAGTGCTCGGCTGGGGCAAAGAAGAAACGAAACCCAGGAGACGGAGGGAAGGTGGTGCAAGGCCCACGGAAAGGCGTCTCACCGATTCCCTACTGCTGTTTCCTGCTCACCTGGCTGCTGCTTCTTGCTGCCCCAAAGAGATTAAAGCGCCGAGGACTGAGCCCCGATCCAAGGGCAACGTTGCAGGTGGAAGCCAAGGCAGCCGGAGCGGATGAAAGCCCAGGAGGTGCCAGGGAGGGGAGCCGCCGCCAGCCCGCGGCCACCGCTTGCCGCGTGTCACAGCTCGTCACCCCGAGCACTTAGTTTACTAACCAGGTTGGCACGGCCTGTGTGTTCAATTACTGCGAGCCGGGATTCAGCGGCTCCGTGGACCAGCTCCTCCTGATCCACGCTGCGTCGGGAATGACGCTGGATAAGGAAGCCGGGGCTTCCTGCACTCAGGGCAATGACTGTGTTACAGGGCCAGGCTCGGCTGCCCCTCTCCATGGGCTCAGGAAGGGCCTCGCTCCGGCTCTTCCCCCTGCTGGAATATTGCTTCATAACCCTCCCCTCCAGGTTCATTTTGATCCATAAATGGCTGCTCCCTTCTCTTTGGCTCTCCAGTCCTTCCAGGAGAACAGTGTTTTGAAATCATCTTACAATGTCCATCCTCCACGAGGATGCAGTAGTATCAAGGGGACGGTTTTACAATTAAAACAGACAATTCCCATGCCTGATGCTTATTACTTTTAGTCCTTGCAACTGAAAACTTTTCCTTTGTGTCTTGGCTACGGACTTCATTTCTTTCTTGCCATTTATGTGCTGTATTTTTCTTACTGCCAGAACTGCATGAGGAGCTAGTAGCTGGTTCGGAGGACCATTAGGAACCTCCCATCCAGCACCCAAACGAGCAGCCGTGCGAACCCTGCAACCTGCCCGCACGGCCGGCAAGCGCCTCCGCTCCCTGGCCGGGGGCACGGCGGGAACGAGGACGCCCTCGGGAGCACCCGGCACTGCCTGCAGCCACCGCTGCCATCAGGGAACGACTCGTCCTGTGCTCGGGGCAGAGCTGCAGCCTCCTGCAGCCAGGGCGCCGCGTGGCCCTGAGCGCAAACCCTGCGGCCAGCGAGCGCCGCACGCGCGGGACGGGGCAGGGGAACCAGGCAGGACCGAGCGCCTCCAAATCTGCTACAGATTCAAGGGAAGGTCACAGGCACAAGCAGGGCTGGACACTGCAGTCACTTCTTAATTCCCCAATTAAGTCACTTCAAAATTCCCGAATTTTGCAAACTTGGCGTTCTGTGAAAGTGCTACCTACAGCACACATGTTGTGCTAATGCACAGAGTAACTGGTGATCTCTGGTCATAAAGATCATCTGAACTTCTCAGAGCAATTGCAGCCACCTAAGAAGATGCAGGAGGACAAGGAGGTTAACTACAAAGCAAGCCCACGTAAACAAAAATAATTTGCTTACAATCAAGTGTAGCAAAATTAGAGATGCCCGCCCTGCTACTCCAAGCTTCTGGTCACACATATTTGATGTGCTTGGCTCCTTACAGTGCCCTTGGCACTTGAATTTCCTCCTAATGTCTCTTCTGACAGCTGAAAACATAACTGCAGCAACAAGTCATCTAACTACTGGTGATGGCAGGAGGGGTAACTTGTTTGGCAGGAACTGCCACCGTCCTGAGGTCAGACTGTTCCTCCTGGTGACGGACCCTCCTCGTGACCGGCGCTCTCAGGACCCCTCCTGCTTATGGGAGCAATAAAACTTCCCTTCTGGAAGAAAGAAAGAATGCTAGGAACACCACAAAGCCAGGGAAAGGAGAAGGGGAAAAAAAGAGATACAAAGAGAGAGAATCCAGTATGAAAAATACAGCACATAAATTAAATGGCAAGAAAGAAATGAAGTCAGTAGCCAAGACACAAAGGAAAATAGAGTTTTCAATTGCAAGGACTAAAAGTAATAAGTAATATTGTTACTACTGCATCCTCGTGGAGGACGGACATTGTAAGATGATTTCAAAACATTGCTCTCCTGGAAGGACTGGAGAGCCAAAGAGCAGGGCGCAGCCATTTACGGATCAAAATGAACCTGGAGGGGAGGTTTATGGATCAATATTCCAATGAATCAAGGTGAGGAGACATTAGGCACTGTCTCTTCCAGGCCACCAGCCACGCAGGCACTGCGACAACTGCCTCTTTGAAGGTGATTCTCAGCCCTATGCAGTCACACCACATTTCTCCTCCATGCTCAAACACATACCCTAGCAATGTCTCAGGCTGATATTAAAATGCTCATGAAGCTTTAAGGTTTATGTGGCTGCTTCTTCATTCAAAAAGAATTCTGGTCTATTACAAGAAATCGCATCTTGAGAGATAAGGAAGCATCTCAGAATTAACAAGTTAAAGCACAAGCAGCTGGCCAGATCCTAGGCGTTATATTCAATTCAAATGATCAAACATCAATCAGCAATCTATGTACTTGAATATGTTTCAAGAGATCCTGAAAACTCAATTTTGTAAATGAGAAGACCAAGAACACTGTCTCACGCAAGCCTTTTAATCCAACATCCATCCTGAAAAGGTAAGGAGACATATGATGTGGCACTTAACCACTTAACTTAAAATGTGATAAGAGGATGTACATAATGATAAGAGGATGTACATAATGTATGCTAAAGAGCCTGGCTCGTGGAGCTCGTCAAACTCTGGAAATCATTTTGATGCAAGATGAATAAAACTGTTTGATAAGAAGTGATGGTGCTGATTTACATATACCCTGCTATCTGTAAAATATCCATCATCTTCTCCCATGACACCTTGATTAATAAGATGCAACAATGTGAAGTCAATATATACATTAAATAACTTGTATGATAGATTTCTAACTGTTATTTATAATACAGCAATTCAAGGTTGGGTGGTTATACTTTCTTGGAAGCACAATGTGAAGGAAGCTACGGTTGTAAAACCACTTAATAACACAAGGACAAACGACTTCAACACAAGAGAAGTGTGCAGATGACAGAGATAGGGAGGGAAACAGGGATGTGGAATTGAAGAGCTCTACAATCTAGAAAGCAAAAGCGAACAGTAAAACTCCTTATGAGTCATTGCCATTTCCTACAGAAAGTCACCAGAGTTCAGAGCTGGGAGTTTTGTTTCCTCTTATTCTCTTTCCAGAGGGCAGAAAACCAATCTCCTGTTCTACATGATTTATTCCGAGTCTCTAACTTACCTGAAAATACCTAATTTTCCTTGCGAAAGGCAATGACAAAACACAGTACAAATGCACACATCCAACACCCCCCAACACATCCACAATGCAGGGTGTTTTGCCCCTCGGTCTCTTTTCCAAATATCTGGTATTTAGAGGCCAATTAGCAGCAATTATTCACTGATTCCCTTCAAATAAATTCATGAAAAGGGTGAAAAACTCAGTTTTGAAAATATGTACATGGCGCTCACCCCTGAAGTCTCTGGACTCAACATCGGAGTGAAGCTGCAGCTTAACTTAAAATAAACTGCGTGTAGCAGACACCACCATCGGACACCAGAGAGCCTGTCCCACCAGGCCAGCAGTCCCGGCCTTCGCTCCTTGCCCCCCATCACCCTCCTCCAAGGCTCTTCCAGGAAAGGCCGGGAAGGGACTCACCGATTTGGTGGACTCCAGGGAGCCCGAGGAGAGGGTGTCGCGGCTGCCGCGGCTCTTGGAGCTGAGGTGGGGCGAGGAGGAGGGCGAGTCGTCGATGAAGGGCATCATGTCATGGTGGCGCCGCTGCTCTTCGGCGCGGTCCGCGTCGAACGCGTAGCCCGGCGGCGTGGCGCCGAACGGAGCATCTGCAACACCGAGCACAAGGGTTAGGGGCGAGCTGGACCGAGGCCGCTACCTGCCTCCCACCAGCAGCCTTGCTTACCTGTAAATCCACAGGTAAATATAGACCAAGCGGAGGCGTAAATTCACTAAACTCATGTTGGCGCTAAGCTCACTTGCTTCACTTGGCAGATTCTAAAATATCAAGTCCTTAATATCTAACATCGGTATTCATTTAATCAGAGTTTTTTTCTCCTTGAAAGCATCAGAAAAACTCCTTCTGCAGGCTCCTCAGAGCTTCCACAGTCTGAGTTTAGGGATGTTTAGGCCGTGGTTTTTGTGTGCAACCAGCACAGGTGACACTTGTGCTGGGTCAGCAATCACAGATAATATGAAGCTCAGGGAAAATGCAAATCCTTCCAGCTCTCTCGGGAACAAGAGGACTGGGAGCACAAGTGAACAGGCCAGCTGCCAAAAACGAAATCCTAACTGGCCCTGCCTTGGTTGTCCTTAAACAGCCGCCTCCTCCCAAACCAAAGGGCAGCAGGGTGGCATGGAAAGCCAAATCAGCCATTCCTACAGAAATCCTCGTGGAACTTCTGCAGGAAAGGACGTCAGGAGAACTGGTGTCCTTGCTAGCTGGATGCTGGTGCAGAAGCTGTTCCTGCAGGGACTGTGTTAGGACACAGTGAGCAGCTGCCTCCACCGCGGGTGCATTTAAGGTCCTGCACCTTTCTCTATATACACATACATACAGACACACGCACTGGACAAACACTGCAGCCCATGGGAAGCAGGAGGCAGCATCACCTGAGGGCTGCCCAGGATTGCAGCAAGGGCCCTGCTCCACCACGCACAACATGGGGAAATTTCCCCTTCCCCTTCCCATCACAAGCCACAAAACGTCACTCTTGCCCCTTCAATAAAGATACTTCAGAAGACAACCCAAAAAATGAGCAGGGAGACATCAGCTAGATCAGTTTGCACCACGGCAAGACAGCATTGCAGAAAACAAAGCCAAAAGGAACCCATTTTTCCTCTTAAAAGTATAAGATTTTGCATTCAATTCACACTGGCACATAAATAGAACCAGATTTCAGTTGTTTTCACCAAAATCCAGGTTCTGCGAAAGCAGCAGGCAGCAGCTGCCAGGCGCACTAACAAGGCAGCTGGGCAGGGTTTTACAAAGCCCACCCTCAGCTAAAGCCTGACTCACTGCAGCAGGGACGTGAATTTTGTGGGGAACAGAAGAAAACCTCATCCACGGGGCTTATGCAGGAGGCAGAGCCGGTCTTGGGAATTTATGCAAACAACACCCCGAGAATCCAACAATAAAGTCACTGCGGAGCGGAGCCCCTGTCCCCATTTGTACCAAATTCCAGCCAAACAGCTGCAGGATCCGAGGCCTCCGGTGGTGGCAATGTTATTTTAAGGAGCTCAACAAGTTTCATGCCACCCACCCTCCTCACAGTGTTACCTTGTGCTCACGCCCTCAGAGCTCCTCAAAACACTTACTTATTAGATCGTGCAGGATGACAGGAATGGGAATACAAGTCAGTGCGTGTGCTTCCAAAGGGACTTTCTCTGCAGGGCACCAGAGGCTTTCCGAGCTCCCCGGCTGTTTGGAATCCACCCCATTGAGCTGCTTTGATTAAAGGTGAGTTGTTGAAATAAAGATGCTCAGTCCCAAACAAGTTTTTAGATACTCTGAAGTTGGATTATACATAGATACCTGCAAGCCAACCAAATCTCACACTGGGATTTAAGGACTCCTTGGCTAAAAGAATGCTAAGGAGAAGGCTGCATCACCCCAGCCTCCAAACAGGCAAGAAAAAATGAACATAAGTGTCCTCCACACAGAAGATGGTTGGTCTTTCATTCAGTCACAGGGAACTTTTAGGAATTGTTTTGATTCCAGAAACCAGAATTACAACAGAAAGAAGGTAGAGTGTCTCCTATGGCACTATTGATGCCATATGTTTATAAACATTTATAAACAAAGGAAAAATCAACATCATGCTACCAGCTTTAGAGGAATACGGGCACCTGCTTCCCCATGGAGCTCTCCCTTGTGCCGTTTTCTAAGCCCAGAAGTTACCCGGATTACCCAGGAAGGAGCATCAGTACCAGGTGCCAACACCACCTTCATGCCTTGGAGCGGGAAGCTCTTTTTCCCTCTGAAGTTCCTTTAAAATGCTTCTATTCCAGCTCATTTTGCCCAGCACACGTGTGGAAACCCTATTGCTGTTCAAAAATGAAGGTAGGAACCGATTCCTCCACGTGCAGCCCTGCTAATATCATAGTTTGCTCCGTTTCTGTAAAGGGAAGATTGAAGTCAGTCTAAATTATACTAGCGGAAAGACTTTGGGTCTTTGGCAGTTTTTCTTTTCCTGCTTTCTCCTGCTAAAAAGCAGGCTTAACTCTTGAGCCTCCATAACACAGACTGGCCTGAGGAAGCCACAAAGGTCCTGCCCAGCAAGACTTGAGCGCGACCTGAAGGAGGGGAAGGTTTATTCCCAAACTGCCCTTGAATCCTCCCCATCCCGGAGCCGAGATTCATGTCTCGGCAAGGAAGGATGGTGCCGGCGGCACTGTCACGGGCTGCCATGGGATCCCGTGATCCGCATGCAAAAGGGATCTGTGATCCGCATGCGAGAAGAATTCAAAACCTGACTTCTGCAGCCTCCAGGGACCTGCCACGCATTAAAAGCTTAGCAGGAGTTCTTATATCTCTTATTTCTATTGCTGCTGGAACGGCTCCAAAATCTACCTAGGGAGATTTTTATCACCTCGGGGGCAGAAGGACCTTCAGGTTTTTATTCCACCCTTTATTCCACCAGAAGCAAAACACGACACCAGCCCGACCCGCCGCGCACGCCTGACACGGAGCTGCAGCCCGCATCCCTGTGATTAAAGGGAACACTGTTGCTAGGGAAACCAGACTATTCCCATCCCCGGGCCCAACGCTGCGCCGGCCACTCCATCCGCAGCACCCGGAACAAAAGGGATGGAGCGGAGGAACGAGTACCCTGCGGATGTCTTGGGTAGGGGGAGCACCAAGACGATCACTGTCCACCTGCCAGGAACACTCCCCAGGAACCAAATCCTCTTGGGATGGGAGCTAAGGAAGGAGGAAACGCAGGACACCTCCCAGGGGACAGCTGAGAAGAGGGCAGGGGGGTGAGGAGGATGGGCTCCAAAATACGGTTTGAGAGGCGCCAGGACAGCCCAAGCAGGCGCCCTGAGCCCTGCGCTCGCAGAAGCGCCAGGGGAGCTGCTGGGTGCTGCACTGGGGGCTCTGCTGGAGACGTGAACAGACAGGGCAGCAGAAACGCAGGAATGGAAAGCGGGATCCCAGCTGGGACCCGGCACCCTGGCCCCAACCTGGCACCCGGTCTCGCCGCGTAGCCGCAGACCCCGCGGGGACTCTGTCCTCAGAGGGCTCCTCCGATACCAGGCGCCAGCGCCACCCTGCCCAGCTGCCACAGGGACTGTCCCCTCCTGCTCGGGGACACATCCGCTCACCGCAGGCAACTCAGGGGGCTACCTTGCAAACAGGGAGGGAAAAAGGAGTTAGCTCCTCATAAAAAGGAAGATTAACTGTATCGCGTCCAAGGCCATACAACGGTTCAAAGCGCGTGTCCAGCATCCGTGGATGTTGGAGAGGCCTCCCAGCAGCATGGGGAGACATTTCCAAGCAACCACCCCGAAACCTGGGGACGCTTTTACATCTCATGCCACGGCCAACGTTCATTCCTCCTGGCTGCTATCAAGCAGCTCTAATGGTTGTGTTGCATTTGAGCTCGGCAGCTCACGCACAACACAAAGCATTCCTGGAGTTTCTGTTCCAGGCTGGACGCGCTCTCTGATCCAGTTCACGGCACGGAAATCCAACGGAAAGGACACGCACACGGCAGTGGGGTAGGGGCAGAGCCAAAGCTCGTACTGAAGCTGACGACAACACAGCAGCACACACAGTTGGAGTTTCCTTTGAGCTGAACCTCACTCAAATCCCAGGATTTAAAATGGTTGAGTTGGGAAAGGTCACCAAAATGCTGCATTTCTCTCCTTCTCAGCACCCTTTTCTCATTATCTGTGTTACTAGGTGCTCCTCCTGCCTCAGCACAAGCTCTAGCATCCATCTGGTTTCCTTGCTGATGAATACGGAATCACAACATCTTATTTCTTAGTGCAAGACGGGGTTTGGAGAGGGACCAGGGATGTGGGCCCAGTCTAAGCACATGCAGAAGTACTTTGGTGTGGATGGATTGTGAATGCAGCTGCCCAGGGAACTGAGCAGAACCTCCTAAAGAATAATAATACAGAAACTATGGAAACGAAGCATCTTGCTTATTTTCCTTGACACTTTCCAAGTCTTCCCCTTCAAAGCCAGGAAACAGCAAAACGGTTATTTGGAAACTTTGCCCCAAACTGGGATCTCTGAATGATAGTTACACTGGCTACCTGTATTAGGAATGTGTCCTAGGGCCAGGATCACACACCAAAAGAGGGAAAAAACAACCACTACAACAAAAAATGTTTGTCATGTCAACACCCCATGTCTTCAGTCTGCTCAGATCAATGAGGAAAAGCTCCATTTGCCACTAACCAGATTCTAAAGCAAGTCTCCTCTTCAAGCTCTGCATCTCCTCTCTACGTAAGGCAGTACGTAAAGGAAACGTTTGTGAAGTCTAAAGTCCCTCACTCAAATACAAGATCATTTAGCAGCAAGAATCCTATTAGTTTGCAAATCCATTCATTCGTATTGGATAAGCACGAAAACTGAGAGGCTAAAAAATGCTCTTTCTCCAATGCACAAGGGAAACTGCATTTTCTTTTTGAGAGGGAGGAAGGAGAGAGCAAAGCATCTTGCAGACAGGGGCAGTCAAGACAGCTGGTGGTTCTCTGTTCACTTCCTTGTACCAAGGCATCTCAGGCCATAGACTTTAAGCAGCCGCCACGAATCTGTCTCTAGCACAGACGAGCTTTATCCTCGGAGCAGACAGTGATTTTAAGTCTTTAGGAG